ACTATAATCGAATGGCAGCCCCCAAGGACTCGCAAACAGCTCCAGAGCTTTCTGGGTTTTGCCAACTTTTATCAATTCATCCCTTCTTTTGCCGAGATTGCCCTTCCTCTTACAGAACTACTCAAAACAGGCAAAGGAGGAGGGAAGCCACGACCGGGCCAACCACTAGCATGGATAATGAGCTGTCAAACAGCTTTTGAGAATTTAAAGAGACTATTTGTTTTGTAGACAAAACCCAACTGCTTTACAGAAACCTATTTAGAATGGAGAACAGCTTTCCCTAATCTGGTGCCCCCCTCCCCCAATAGCTATGTTTAGTAGAGATAGCAAAGTCTGTAGTCCAGTGATGGCCAACCTATGACATGTGTCAATGGCGACATGCCATGTTTTGGGTGACATGCCAGCATTCAGCAACACCCAACAACTATTCTTGAAAGCATGGCCTGTTCTCATGTGATTTTTGGAGGCCAGAGGCCGCATGAGAATGAGGTATGCTCTCGTGCAGCCTTTGGACCATCCAGAATTCAAGCAAGAGAACCTGGAGTACCAGGGAAATAGCTGAGGATTGGAAAAGGGCTGATGTGGTTCCCATCTTCAAGAAAGGAAAAAAAACAGACCCAGGAAACTACTGACCAATCAGTCTAACATCAATACCTGGGAAGATCCTGGGAAAGATAATGATCTGCAAACAACTAGAAGCAAACAAAGTTATAATTAGTAGCCAGCACGGGTTTGTCAAAATCACGCCAAACCAATCTTATTTCATTCTTCGATAAAGTGACTAAACTAATAGACCAGTGAAATACTGTGGACGTAGTATACTTAGACTTCAGTAAGGCATTTGATAAGGTAGACCACAACCTATTCCTTGGTAAGCTAGAAAAAGGTAGAATAGACAACATCACCACCAGATGCATTTGTAGCTGGCTGACAAACCATACTTAACAACTAGTCCTCAATGGCACTACATCCACATGGAGAGAAGTAAGCAGTGGGATACCACAAGGCTCCGTCTTAGGCCCAGTACTCTTCAATATCTTCATTAATGACTTAGATGAGGGAATTGAAGTGGAACTCATCAAATTTGTAGATGACACCAAATTGGCAGGAATAGCCAACACCCCAGAAGACAAACTCAGAATCCAAAAAGATCTTGACAAACTTGAACAATGGGCCCTGTCCAACAAAATGAGTTTCATTGTGGAGAAAAGCAAGGTTTTACATTTAGGCAGGAAAAATCAAAGGTACAAGTACAGACTGGGCGAGACCTGGCTTAAAAACAGTAACTGTGAGAGGGACCTTGGAGTCCTAGTAGACAATCACTTGGCCATGAGCCAACAGTGTGCTGCAGCAGCCAAAAAAAGCTAATACAATCCTGGGTTGTATAAACAGAGCCATAGAATCAAGATCATGTGAAGTATTAGTACCACTTTATAAAACCCTACTAAGAATATTGCAGCCAATTTTGGTCACCATTTCACAAAACAGATGTTGAGAGTTTAGAAAAAATTCAGAGAAGAGCAACTAAGATGATCAAAGGCCTGGAGACTAAAACATATGAAGAACAGCTGCGGGACGTGGGTTTGGCTAGTCTAAAGAAAAGAAGAAATAGGAGAGACATGATAGCAGTATTCCAGTATTTGAGGGGCTGCCACAAAGAAGAGGGAGTCATGTTATTCTCCAAAGCACCAGAGGGAAGGACGAGAAACAATGGTTGGAAACTGACCAAAGAGAGAAGCAACCTGGAATTAAGGAGAAACTTTCTGACAGTGAAGACAATTAACCAGTGGAACAGCTTGCCTCCAGAAATTATGGGCACTCCATCACTGGAGATTTTTAAGAAGAAACTAGACAGTCACTTGTCTGCGATGGTATAGTTCTCCTGCTTGAGCAGGGGGCTGGACTAGAAGACCTCCAAGGTCCCTTCCAGCTCTATTCTATTCTATTCTATTCTATTCTATTCTATTCTATTCTATTCTATTCTATTCTATTCATGCTCTCATGTGGTCTCTAGAGCCTCTGAAAATTGTGCAAAAACGGTGTGTGCTTTCATGTGGTTTTTGGAGGCTGCAGAAGCCACAGAAGAACATTCTTTGAAACTGCTTCAAGAACGAAGGCTGTTTGCTCTGGACCAGCCTCGGGTAGGCCCCTGGGGTATGTCAACAGAAAGAGAACATCACTTGAAGGCAAGTGGTATGTGGCAGATTCTAGGGAGTGCCAGACTCTGGGGGCAATCGTGCTGTTCTCCAAGGTTTGTATGCTTTGGAGAATACCGTAAATCAGCCTTTTTGAATGGTAGCAGTGTTGCTAAGGTTGAAGCCAGCTCAGCATTGCCAAGTGCTGGTGTTCAGAATGGCCTAGCTCTGTGCGTGTGTGTGTGTGTGTGTGTGTGTGAGAGAGAGAGAGAGAGAGAGAGAGAGAGAGAGAGAGAGAGAGGGAGGGAGGGAGGGAGGGAGGGAGGGAGGGAGAGAGAGAGAGAGAAGGAGGGAGAGTATGTGAGACAGCTCACCTTGCCTTTCAAAATTGTGAGAAAATATATTTTCTTTGTAAAACCTTCCCTCTATAAAAGAAAAAGTTCAAGACTTCAACAAGTAAAATGTATTTACATAGATTTTAGTTTATTAACATGAATAAACTAATGAAGTCACTAAGATGACTAACTTTTATTACAAAAAAACTGAGACACTTCAAAGATTTGGCTTAAATGTTTTTAGTTTTTGAAGTCACAGACGTTTGTTACTTCGTTCAGGGGTCACTAAAATTAATGAGTAAAACAAATGCAATATTATTTTGTTATGTATCATTATTTACCTTTTAAACAAAGAGTAGTGAGGTAGAAACATATTTGTATTAACAATAAAAATTGAACAATAATAACAATAATCTCTTTGATTTCCCCCCCCCTCCGATTTTTGCAAGTTTATTTTTTGTCTATGAAGATTCTTAGTCATCCAGGTCATAGTTATCCCAAAGATGTTTTTTTATGAGGCAAAAACTGGACTTTCTTGTTTTTCTTTGAAGACATTTCGCTTCTCATCCAAGAAGCTTCTTCAGCTCTGATTGAATGGTGGGGAATGGACAGTTTATTTTTTGTTTTTTTCAAATTGCCAGCATATTTCAGCTTTGGCATAGTACTTAAACAAGATGGCTAAGCTTTTTTCTTGAGTGGAATCCTCTTAGATTGTAGGTCAATACACAACTGATGAAATACTTCCCCATAATCAATTTAAAAACCTCATCAAAGATAACTACATGGACATGGACAAGAAGTTGTCTGGAAAAAGCCTACATGAGTCCTGATGTTGGGAAGAGATTGGGTTCAAAAACCCATAGGGCTTTATCAAAATCACAACTGGGCATTATGAATTGAGAATAAACATGCAAGAATTCCAACAAAAATGTACAAATGCATTTTGTAGAAATATCAAGAAGTTTCAGCAGGACTGTACCAAGTTTTGTGTTAGAGAATTCGAAGCACTTAATACACAGAGCTGGTTGGTTGGATGGATGTATATACACTTTGTTAAAGTTTATATAGAATCTCCTTTGTTGGTATTTTGATTTTGTGTCAGAGAACCGTAGCTAATACACCCAAGCTGACTGTTAAGAATAACGCTACTGAATAATATTCACTGCATGGTATTGACTTAGTAAAGTTTGAATTGGACTTGGTTGATAGTATTGATTTCAAGACTTTTTATTCAGGAAAATCAAAGACTAAACAAGCTGTTAAATATTTTTAAGAGCTCTTTAAAAACAGGTGTGAATAAAATTCATTTTGGTGGGATGGGGCAGGTATTTTTACCAACACCTCCACCAATTACCTCAGGACACAGAAGGTAGCAGACTGGGGATGCCTGGGATAGGAAGAATCAGCACTTGCTTTCTATTAACAGCCGTTTCTCCTGAGCCAGAGGCCTTTATTTTCCCAGAAAGGTATTTGGGGATGCGACATGGTGCAAATCAGTTCAAATGTCTTGTTTGGGGGGGGGGGGAGAAATCACCAGCTGGTACTGTCTTTGGCTGATTAGACTTGGTGTCTGATCAAACACTATAAACAGCAGCAGGTTCCTAATTTCTTCCTGCTAAATCTAATGTGTGCTGGAGTCAACTGAGCATTTTTTTACTGTCCAGCGCTACCACACACAGGAAGGAGATTCACACGGTATACCGTAAATGCCGGCGTATAAGACGACTTCCGCGAGCGCTGAAATCGGCGCCAAAGACGGGGGTCGTCTTATACGCCGAGTCGTCTTATATGCCGGAAATACTGGTAGTTTCCGGCGTATAAGACGACGTTCTAGGAATGCGGCCCGGCTATAAAGATGGGGGTCGTCTTATACGCCGGGTCGCCTAATACGCCGGTATATATGGTACTTCAGCTCTAGGTGCACTAACAACTTTTCTGGATCATAAATCCTTATATAATTGTGGTAGCTTCTTCTTATACAGGTAGTCCTCGGCTGATAATGGTCGTTAGTGACCATTCACTGGAAAAAAAATGATAAGCATTTTTCACACTTATTTTGGGTTCAACTGTGGTTGTACATCGAGGACTGTACCTGTACATGGAATTGAAACTCCGCTTCTAAAGCTCTCGAGGTTGTGCAACGCTATGCTTGTATCAAAGGAAAATGAAGGCTGGAAATATCATGCCCAGGGATCTCTCGCCACAGCTGGGATCAAAATCCACCCCTTTCTAGATTTTGTTATTTAAAAGGGGGATCCCAAGTTTTTGCAAAGTAGCAGCTATATGAACTATATTCATCCAGGTATAACAGTATAACTCAGAAATAAACTGGCTAAGCTATTTTCGTTATTTATCTAGCAGACTATGGTTGTGTGTTATAGGGCCTTACTTGGGATTTAGCATCTTTTAGCTTTGAAAGCATTTTAAGAAAAATGCTTCTACCAGTCTCAAACTTGGTTGGGGCTTCCAAGAAATTGGGGCGATAGTGGTCCATGCTTTTTTTTAAAGAGCAGAATAGGCAGAATAAAAATTTTCTCTAAGCCTTGGTCTTTATTTGAGTGTTGTGCTGCAATGTCAGAGAATACACACGATACATAAATTAGCATTCAATAATTAAAAGTAAGCGATAGTTGTTTTTTTTTTTGCCCAACCCTAACTCCAATAATTCACTTTATTGAAGGAACTCTCATACATTTATCATTTTCAGGGATCATGAGATCACACAGGTTGAGAATCTTTGCCTCTTCCTATCTACGCTCAACGTGGCATTCTACATCAATAATATTCCCAGGACATATTTTGATCTTCCTGGGTTTATTTTTGGGAATGGCAAAAAAATGGTATATTATTTTGATATGAAATATATATCGTCATTTTGTCTCAATTTAATGTAGAAGTTCAAATGTTAGAATAAGATTTTAAAGGTCCCTTCCAACTTCGTTATTCTGCTATACTCTTAAAAGTGCTACTCTGGGTGTCGGTTTTGCATCTTATACCCTTTCTCCCTTATACTAACTCTTCTGCTTTTCTTTAGCCCAATCTTCTCTGCTGCAGGCAAACACTGTGAAATGAAGCAGAAAATCACCCTAATGGAGATCAGATGAATCAGAGGTCCTTACATAACTAAATGCACTTTAGCAGATGGCACAGAATACTTTAAAAAGGTATTTCAGCTGTTAAACGAAATTTAGAGCGACATCTAAAATTGTTTTTTTTTTTAGCTCTATAAAATTCTTCATCACATCCCAAATGATATTAAAGGACATTTACACGATGGGAACTATTCTGGTGCTCTTTAACCAATTTTGTTGAGAAGCGTAATCCCAAAACAGTCCACATTTTATGCCAGAGAAGAAATAGGCCTCTCTGTGCAATCTTTTCTTTTCTACAGTTTCATTTGTGCCAGGAAGGGGAAAGTTAGTTGCATTAACCGGACCAACCCTTCTTGTCACCCTCACTCTCCTCTGTTCAAAGGAGGTTACAGATCTACATTGGAGAATCTGTTGCACTTGGAAATGTATCCCAGCATTTTCAAGCCGGGCAGCATAGAATTACACAACGGGTCTACAAGGAGGGGAACAGGCTTTCCAGGAAGGCATTAAATTCTCCAATATTTGGGGGACGAATTGGCACATTGGGAGAGCAAGCCATGAGCAAAGAAATTAGCGTTATGTGGGCTTACCCATTAATATTTGCTTACCAGAATGCAAGCTAGCAAAAATATTGCTTTCTATCCTTTCTAAAGCCCTACGTGTGTATTATCAATGCTCAGTTGAATCTACCTGTGCCTTTTTTTCTTTTTTGACTATGTAAGCATATTCCCAAACAGAGCCCTCACAGGTATCCATTCCTCATTTCTATTTACTAAAAATGCTGATGACTGAATTCTGTTTTAATTTGAAGCATGCCAGCTTCCTTATTGATTTTGACAATAAAATAATCCTTTACGGATTAAAAAGTTAAAGGGACAGAGGGTCTAGTTACAGGGGTAGGCAACCTTGACTCTTTTATGACTTGTAGACTTCAACTCCCAGAATTCCTGAGTCAGCATGGCTGGTTCAGGAATTCTGGGTATTGAAGTCCACAAGTCATAAAAGAGCCAAGGTCACCTATCCCTAGTCTAGTAAGTATCAAGGGAGGATTTAACACAGAGAAAAATTTGCATTTGACTTGGAGTGAAAAAGGAATGTGTTTCCAGAAGTGTTCAATTTCTCCGTATTTTGAGGTACTCTAATAACTATCAAAATCTGCTTTTCAAGCACAGCATATAACATTTGTGAAACCCTGTTCAGTGTCACTCCTAAGCTATGGAATGCACATCTTCAACCTTCTCTTCCAGTTTTCAGAAAAGACCTTGAGAACTTTCTCTTCAGCTGCACCTTATTAGTTATTTTAATAGTATTAATGGTTTTAAATTTTAAGTGGTTGTTTAAAATTCTTCATTGATAGCATTTTGAATACTTGATTGTAGAAAGGATACAATCTGTATGATTTTTTAAAAATAAAATTTCTGAAAAGCTATCCCAATCCATGCCATTAAAAAGACAAAACTCGTGGAATCCAGTCATTCTTCCAAAAAATTTACTCCTACCAGAGTTTTCTAAATTTTTGTGGGTTTTTTTTTAACTCAATAAATCATTAAAAAAAATTTTTTTAAAAAAAATCTGGGGGTATTAGCACTGAGATTTTAATCAAATAAACCAAAGTGTGGCTTGTGCATAGGCTCAATATAACTTACTAAAAACTCTTGAGGAAAAAATAGGGCAATACCAATATTGGTTAAATCATCAAAATAAGAAAATGCTTTGGTTCCACCATTTATTTTAACCATTGTAATAAAAAGTAATCTGAATTATGACAAAGCTTTCCCAAGTTGTAATAAATTACTTTAAATGCTGTCATGCATCAAAGCTGTCATCCAGCAATACAATTTAACACACACACACCCTCCCCCCCCCAAAAAAAAATCAATGAGATTTCGGCTAACTACACATATAATTGCAACCCAAGTAGTAGTCTTCTGCAGGACAAAAACTCAGTTGTCCTTGCCTGTTTCAAAGTTGTATATGTCCGGGCTTGTGTAACGGAGTCAGCATATTAACAGTCTCTTTTTGGAGGGGCTATAAGATTAGGAGAGCAGCGACTGAACTTGATGAGGAGATCTATGTAATATAGTTTCCGGGTCTTTATAAGCGTTATCAGGATTCATCACAGCTGCATACAGTTCACTGTAAGCTCTGCAGATCAATTCTGTGGATTGTTTTATTATCTGTTGTCTAAAACACAACCAAAGTTAGACATATAAACATACAACTGATGATAGAAAGTGTCTTGATGATAGAAAGTATCTTGATGTCCCCTTTCTTTGCAGGAAGAAAAAATGTAGGCCATCCTAATAGCCTCCTGCCTCTACTCACTATAAATGAATACAACCTCTTGCAGTAGACAGGGGACAGATGCCCTTGGGTAGCAATGGCTGGAGGGTCTGAGGGTCTACTCTACACAGTGCAAAGTTATGTGACTTCTGGGCCCAACTTCTTCCCCCAATTATTCAGCAGCAGTGCAAGGGTTGTGTCGTGACCTCTGAAACAGCCACAAGGCAAGTCTTTCTTTTATGAATTTTTATACACCCATCCCTATTAATGATGATGATGGAAATAAACTGCCGTGATCAATTTAATCATTCTTCTGGGATTGCCTCCCACCCCCCACCCCCATGTCCCTTTTCTATATAGGTACAGTATACAATTCGCAGCTAAACAGGTGGATGCAGCCCCGTTACCCCTCAAACAACTGGTTAGATGTAAAATAGCTATGCAAGCAAAAATAAAAAAAAATGGCCACAACCAACTTCCTGGCAAAATTAGTGCAGGATACCCATTGAAAAGAAGAGTTTTTCAGCCAAACAACCTGTTTCCAAAATGGATCCTGCTGCCTGCCTCACATAATAAGAACAGACTATGAATCAGTAAGCTGTCATCCTCTAGTGCAGGGGTAGTCAACCTTGGCTCTTTTATGACTCGTGGACTTCAACTCCCAGAATTCCTGAGCCAGCACAGCTAGCTCAGGAATTCTGGGAGTTGAAGTCCACGAGTCATAAAAGAGCCAAGGTTGACTACCCCTGCTCTAGTGTATCGGCCAGTCAAGGGAGGAGCACTATAAACATGCTTAGTCCCCAAATCAACCCTCTTATGTTTGAGCCTTTGACTGTGATTCTTACATGACTCACACGCAAAGGAAAACAATGAATCCTGATCCTATCAAAGGCAGGAAAAAGAAACACTTTACTTACTTAACAGTTGTGCTCAGGAGAAAGTTTATCTGTGGCATTAACAGACCATCAGGGGCAGACAAATAACGATCAAACTGGACCTGTCACACAGAGAAGGGCAGATGTTAATCAATGTGTTGTCCTCAAAAACAGACCCACTGCTCAGGAGACAAGAATTAGACCCAAACATTCTCCAAATGTATTCCAATGCTCCAGGGAGGGAAGAATCTGGAAGCATAAAAAGACCGCTGACACCCAATATACTTCAACTAAAACTAAGCTGTAGCATGGAGATGCTTCACCCTAGCCCAGCACTTGGACTAGGTATCAATCGTTTGTATGAGGAAAGAGGGTCAGTCCAGCCTATCTTATTCTTGTTCTTTCTGCTCTCTTCTCATTTGCCTCATTCTAGTCCAGTGGTTCTCAACCTTTTTAATGCTGCAACCCCCCCAACCGGTCGTAAGTCGAGGACTACTCAACTGGTGCATCACCGTTTGCAGAATGGGACTTTTGGCGGGCTCAGCAGGGCAGAGACAGCCTGGACAATTCCTATTGGCTTTTGAAAGCCAATAGAATTAGACTCTATTCAAGAGAGTCTATTCTATAGGCTTTCAAAAGCCAATAGAATAAAAGGGAGTAGCACAGCTAAGGAAAAGGGGAAAAAAAATGGCGGGCTGCGTTGTTTGGCGACCCCCGTAAAATGGTCGTTCGACCCCAAATGGGATCCCGATCCACAGGTTGAGAACCACTGTTCTAGTCACTGCTCCTTCTTATATGGGTTAGATTACCCTCACAGGGGAAAAAAATCCTTGGTCCTTAATTGTAATCCTTAAAGTCTATAGATATCAATTATTATTATTTTTCCCAATTTGAATTAAATTATCAACAGCTGTCAAACTTAAGACATATCTTGAAGTGACACAGTCCAACTTTTGCCTTAGAATGCAATTTCTGAAGTCTCTTGTGTTATAAAACAATACCAAATGTACTATATCAAAATAACGTATTTGAAAAAAACTGGTATGAAAATGAACATGAAATCTGAATCAATGTTATGTCTTCCTTAACATTACAGGAAAATTTATGGCTCTGTAGTGGATTGACTAGAATTAATTCCAGTCAATTTGGATTGATTCAGAATTAAATCAATTACATTACAGTGAAATGTTACACACCTCTGAGTTTCCATGATTTATTAAACCCACAGACCCCCCCCCCCCCAAAAAAAAAACAGGAACTGAACTTTAAGAACACCTGGCTTCCTTTTTGCTTTTCTTCCTTGCCCTTATTTCTAAAAGTTTAGATTGAAAATTCCTTGGAATACAAATTAGCCCTCTAATATCTAGAGGAGCATCTTATAAACAGTCATAATGCAATGACAAAGAAACTAAAACACCCACTCTCAAAATCCTAGCACAGTTTTCCCCTCTTCCCCTGTACAAGACAGCTGAAAATGATTTATCTCACCATTGCCGCTTTTAATGACATAGAATCCATACTGGGTACATTAGCCAAGGGACCCTAAAATAAAGGAGAGGTAAATAAATGGATAATGACACAGAATCAGTGTTTTAATAAAATCAAGCCAAAAACTATTTTGCAACAAAGCCCTAAAACTGTAGCATGCTATGGATATTTATGGAATCATGCAATGATTATAGTGACTGAACTTTGGAGACCTCAGGTGCCACAAATCTCTAGATCAAAATTAAAAGTTAATAACTTACTTATCAGGTGAAAGAAAACCAAATTAAGAGCACTAAACAAACAGCCTATTGACTTTATGGAGGACAACTGACATAAATCCACTGACTAATAATGTTTTTGTGGGTCTATTCATGAAGAATTGTCTCGTGAAAAGGAACGAAGAGTATGTTTTTTTTTTACTAAGTTCCTAAAGCAAAATAAAATGTGAATTAAGAAAACTTTAAATAGAAAGAAGGCACAATCTAAAAAAGAGAGGAGAAAGATGATCATTCATGCCATATATGAGAATTTAGAATGTTGGGCATGGGATCAAAATTCTAGATGATCAAAACTGGGAGATCAGGCAGATCTCTTAATCCGCCAGTTTTAAGAAGGTCAGAGAAAACCAACATTACTTAAGTAGTCTGGATCACTTTATAGCACAAAACTAGAGTGTGCGTTATAGAATTCTGTAGTACGACTTATTAAACAAACCAGCAAAAGCAAAATTGAGTATATCACAATAAAAAAACTCTTATCAGCTTATGAATTAAAAAGTTACACTATTTTTCACAAGATGGCTTGGTGCACTCAAACTAAAATAATGCATTTCTTTTCATTATTCAAAAACTGCCAAGGACACCAGTAACCACTGCTTATCTTTTTGAATGGAAGGTTAAAAAAAAAAATCTAATATAAAATTACAAACAAAGCAAATTCCTGGTCATGTGTGGGTAACCAAATAGAGACAACTCTATCTAATATTAGTTAAAACTTTAAATAAAACTCCAACCACTGAAATCCAATCTGTTCTTCTTAAGATACCACCATAGTTGTGTCTTTTTCAGATAGGTCAGGGTCTCATGATTGCCTTAAAAACATACTTGTTGACATCCTTTTGAGGCCTCCTAAAATCTTATGAATAATCTATCTTCCTCCCAGTGTGTTTAGATTGGGTTCACTTGGAGTTATTTTTTATTAAATAATTCTATCTGCAAGTCTGATTTCATTTGGCTGAAGAACAACTTTAAATGTATTACAATGATTTTGATAAGATGAAACTGGGCCTTGTTTCTCACCAAAATCTCAAAAGTCTTAAGATATTTCTGTTCCAATAAGAACTCACTTGGTTATTGATTCTGAAATTCTGAATTATATTTCTCTCAATATGATAAACTTAGCCTCAGTGAAAGTGTAACCTTAATATCTCCTGTTTCACACCCAGGCTTATGCTTATGCCAATGTAGAGCAGGCATGTTAAACTTGCGATGTCACATGACATCACGTGACGTATCAGGACTTTTTCCCCCATTGCGGGCAATGAGGTGGGTGCGGTTTCAGCCTGACGCATCCGGCCCCTGGGCCGGCAGTTTGACATGCCTGATGTAGAGCAAAATGCTCTATCATATATTGTTCCTGTGAAGGAGCATGAAGATAACTCATTGATGAAGGAATGCAAGAAATGTTAAGAGAAAATACATAACAACTCAGTTCTAGAACAGGAAAAGCGTAAAAAACAAATGCAAGTTAACCCTGTCTTAACTGTTTTGTTTAGTGTAAGAAGAGGGTGAGGGAAATTCCTGGGGGCTTTCAAGATTCTGTCATTACGGCCTGCAACAGTAAAGAAAAGTAACATTCCTGAAATGTTTACTCTGTATGTTTTCCTCACCTGGTCTATCTTGAAGGGCTGATCGTTACAATGCAATGTGCTTGACTGCACTTGACTCCATTATAAATAAAGTAGCTAGAAATAGATAGACTCCCATTAGGCCACCCTTTCAATTATGATGAATGAGCTCCACCAAGCAAGGATTCTAAGCCAAATTGAAAGCAATGATTTCACTAGCTTACAAATGCAAATATATTTGGACATATTAGTGAAGGATGAGAGAAGAAAAGAAGTGAAAGAAACAAATGTGAAAGTAAAATACTTCAGGAAGAGAAAGTACAAGTCATGTATGAAAATGAATTAGAGCAGGGCTTTTCAACCAGTGGTATGGGTACCACCTGTGGTACATTGGCACCTGGCAGGTGGTACGCGACCATCCTATAAAAGTGGTAGCGGGGGAGGGGAATGAGAGTGCCGCCTGGCAGGCAGGCAGGTGTCTTGCTCGGTTGTGCCTTGGGGGGCACTTTTTTCAGTGCCATTGTAACTTCGAACAGTCACTAAGCAAACTGTTGTAAGTCAAGGACTACCTGTACTTTATCACTTTTTTCCTCTTTTTTTTGGTCATCAAGTTTTTGACACCTTGCTAGGTACTTGGATATTGCCATGAAAAGCCCTGGATTAGAAGATTGGAAGCCACCCAGAAGATGGGCAGCTATATTGTTTTAAATAAACAAGCAAATAAAATAATCTCAAAGAATGAAAATTAATATAAGGAGAGTGGTTACAGAATGCTGTTTAGAACAGACACAAAAATGTTATGCTACAGAGTGCCTCAGGTTAAAGAGTGTGAATATAAAAAAGGAGTTTATTTTAATTTTATTATAGAAAAAGCAACAGGCTTGAATTATGAAGAGTTTTGTGTGAGTGTGGAGTTGAAGACTGGTTGTTAAACTTCCACGATGGAAATAAAGTATCTATGAACATAAATGGAATGTTTAATGAGTGGTTTAACATACAGCAAGGTGTACACAAGAAACAAGGATCTCCCTTTGTTTGATTAAGATATTTATGGATAAACATATAAAGAATGCTTGTAGCAATGGAAAAATGTGTTTGTTGTGGCATGAATATGTGCACTTTTGTATGCAACTACAGTGTTAGCTGAGGACTCAAAATTATTCGCAACAAACCTGGGGAAATGTTTATTATGAGAATGGAAAAACAGACAGAAAAATTGTACTATATGTGAATTTTAGCAGAAAGATAGTAGATAGTATGTGATGTAAGGAATGAATGTTTATCAAAAGAAGCAAAAATGGCTATGTGGGACCGCCATGATGAAAAGGAGATCATGCAAATTATTGTTGGATGGCACTGGTGAGTTCCTCAAAAATAGGGAAGAGAGATTAATGAAAGGGCAATGTATTACTATGTGGATGAATATGCTGCAAGCAAGAATAATTGGCAGCTGTAAATACGCGTGGAGAGATATAATGAATTGTGTTGGTGTAAATCAAGTTTAGCTCTATTTTTTTTCTTCTTATCTCATGCCTTTATTTTTATTTTATTTTTTTGGCTTACTATTTCTTACTCTCTTTCTGGGTTTTGCAAAATATTGCTTGCCATGAAAGGACACAGTATGATGGGTTTGCATGTAAGTAATTATAGCCATGCACATAACAACTCCTTTTTGAAACTAAAGCTTTCAGAAACAATTGTTCTTCCTGCTAAAGAAAAAGAAACCAGGAATTCTGAAGTATCTATTTAGATTCCAACTCAATATAGTAGACTTACATTTGTAGTTTAGGGTATCCGACTGAATGGAAATATTGGCTGAAGAGCTATAGGAGTCTCCAAGTAACACAAATATGCAATCAAAAATAAGCAATTCAGTAGCACTTACTCAGTACTGTGACAGTATTTGCATCTCATAATTGTCTATTAAATAGCTAAGTAACAGAGCCATTTGGCTAGTGTGCTGTATACTCCCATGGGCTCCTTCCAGGAATAGGTGGAATGGTGTGTCTTCCACCCAGGCTTATAAACCATTCCCAATGGTTGAACATGTTACTCAAATGTAGACTGGTGGGAACTGTAGCAGGTTTCTTAACCATGAATATATTTTGCAGCCTAAAGTTGTTCACATGAAAAGCATAAATGCTGGGCAAAACACATCAACAGAGACTTGTCAGAAATGGGTACTGATATTGATAGTTTCCAAAATTATTGCTTACCTGCTCCGTCTTGTGTTGCTGTACCATGTTATAAATATAATTTAGACCCACTCTAGTTAATACGTAAGATGCTTGTTCGTTTATAAGGGTATCCAAATGTGCTTCAATCTAAAACAAACAGTGAATTTTCACTTACTGCAAAGTATTTAGAATTATCATATGTAATTTATTTGGCACAATAAAAAAAAACTGGCGATGAGTTTGTGTAAATTACATGTTACGAGTCTATGGATATATAAATTCAATCTCCCAGCTAGATTTTTATGAAGTTTTGAACTGTATCATTTTTCACAATCATCCTATAAGTGTTACAGTGGCAATTTGCACAAACTGACTAGCCACAAAGTTAATTCCATAGTGAAAAGTTTTTGGGGACCTGTGTCTGGAGATGGAGAAAGCATCAATGAAGAGTGCACATTTTTTAAATTTTTTAAAAAATCCAACAATATTGTTAAATTAACTGCCAAAGATGAAATAGGAGGAATACATAAATGATAAATTGTATTTTTCACTAATTGACATAATCTTTATCAAAACCCATGCATGGTCAGCAAAGTAACTTTATTTGTAAATTACTGCTATTCTCCAAAATGGATGAGAAGTATGCTTTAGATTCAGTATTGAGAACAATTCATTATATTTATTATTTTTAGTATCACAACAGGCTCTGTTCAGATAGTATCTTAGTTTAGCTAGCTGATTCTATTGTCTACATAGGTAGCTCCCTATCTTTGCATTTTCTCTTACCTTGGAAACAACAATAAAAGTTGGAGAAGGGCAAATTCTTCTGTGCATCAAACAGCTGTTTTGCAATAACCCATGCCCAGATTGAAATATGCATATTTCAGACAATATATAGGACAAAACGTGGCTGTTTTGTTCCAGGTAAAAACTGATAAGTTACTTTGCGGGGGGGGGGGAGAGTAAGAATAGGACAAAACCAAAGCCCAAAGTTTCCTTGCAGAAAACATTGAGGAGGGAGACAAAAATTATATTGGGAAAATTAGGGTATAAATAGGCTGGTGGATTTTCTGTGGCCAGATATCATTAGCAGTTGAGAGAAGAGAAGGAAGGTGTAAAAGTGTACAGAGTTGACCACCATTACATGAATATCAGCTTAGCTCTTTAAGAGACCATGGGGTTAAGGAAAAAAACCTTCAAGATTACCCCCTAGATTCTCTTTAGCTTAAGAGGGGAGAGAATCCTTGGTCAGGCTTTTAAGAGAAAGTTATTGTACTTTGGTGTAAAGAATCAGGGCTATGACCGTAAGGCAGGGGTCTTCAAAATCGGCCTTTTTATGACCCATGGACTTCAACTCCCAGAATTCCTCAGCCAGGCACGCTGGCTGAGGAATTCTGGGAGTTGAAATCTACAAGTCATAAAAGGGCCGAGTTTGAAGACCCCTGCCATAAGGAAAACAGGCAAGAACTGTTATATTAGCAAAAACAGAAGGAATATTCTTTAAAGTCCCAGGAAACAAGATGGAAGAGTCTCGGGCAGACTCCTTTTTGATTCATTGGGCTACAACAAGGAGAATAAAGCATAATCAGGTTTTTAAGATTGTGTTGCTATAGTTTATCTCAATAAAATATAGCCTTACTTTCCCTTTGGAATCTGATTTACCCCAAGGGCTGACATCTCAAAAGTAAAGCAAGGTGTCAATTGCTCATGTAGTGTGTTTTCTGATCTTGTCTCCCTCAATGGGCTGACAGGAGGGAAGGCACTGGGAAGCCTGGAATGCAGGAGACTAAAGATAAATCACTTGGAGGAAGGGGGGAGAAAGTGGAAGATGTGCCCTAATCTTGTCCTACTAACTGAGAAATAACACTAGGATCCTTCTAGGTTTTATTTCAATCAAAACCAAATCTCCATTTTTTGTTTCTGACGACAAAACATTTAATCAGAACTTTTGGGACACGGTGGTTTATTTTTGGAGTTAGAAGCAAAACCTGTTTTCTGTTTTGCACACACACCTAATTAGACACAACCGGGTTTAATCATGACTAAAACAAAGGAAGAAACCAGGGAGCTGCAAACCAAAAACTTGTTTGCATCTTGGTTTAATAAGCTGCTATAAATGTCATTTAATAAAGTTAATTATAGGATAGATATAACCAGATAACTCCTGTAATTCAACCATCTATTGCCAAATACAACTCAATGATACCTGCTCCTCCCAGCTATCTTATAGCTTGATCTAGAAAAATCTAAGAATTTCATCTCATTTCAGTGTAAAATTCTTTTAAAATGATAATTCCATCTCGTAAATTATCCACTGGATGGCAACTGCAATTTATGTGTGCTGTCATTTAAAAAAAAAAAAACAGCTTGCAAACATGGCTCAGCTTTTTACGTTTCACTGCTTTGCTGCATCGGGGTTCTTAACCCCCATTAATGATTTTTTTGTGGCTGCATGCACCAGAGTGTTTACTTTAAATATAAAGCTGTGAGGATACACACATTTAAGAAGATTGTGTTGTATTTATTCCCTGTTAATGGTTAATGGCAAAGAAAACATCAGAAGATTGACTTTGGACGTTTACCTGGTATTGTAACATTTCTAGCCTTTTATCTGTGAATTCAAATAGAGCCAGCATTGTCTTCATCATATGAAGTGAATTCACCATGAAGGTTGCCATGTCAGCAGACCCCAAGTTACTGGCAGACACAGTACACATCTGCAACAGGGGATCCAGCACACAAGACAGGACCTAGAAGAAAGCAGGAAGAGCAATATACTGACTCAGAGCAACCCTTGAGTATTTTCCCATTCTATTACTCCCCAAAGAAGGAAGTTAATGCTGAAGAAAGAAAAAAAAGTCTGCTGGCCTTTGAACACAATTTCAGATTTTATAAATAAAGCACTACCAGCCGCTTGCTCTTCTGATTTCACATTTCAATCCAGTGTGTTGCCAGCTGCTTATGCAACCACTTCTACATTTAGTTGGTCATGCTTATTTGTTAATGCCAGAAAAGGATGTTGCATAGGAAAGTTGCGTAGGCATAGCCGGTCCAAAGCAGAAGTGATACAAACATAGATAGCTGATGAGGCTTGCTGATGAGGTTTGTAGCATCCAAGCTATTCTGGGGGTGGGGATAGGGTGGAGGGGTGGAGCTTGAGGGAAGGTTCAGATTGCAAGAATGCAGTTTTAATGTAAATGTTCAAAACAGCTACCTACTCGTTCAGCATACAAAAACACAGGCTGCTTGGCAAAGTTAGGGATCCTCTTCCCCATTGGAAAACTCAACAAGCATCCACCAAGGTTGCCTTTTTAAGAGAGTGGGCTTTCCCACTGTGAATGGAGTCAGTATGCCTATTCCAAATCTTGATTTCTTTTTTTTTTTTTCAACAATCTTTTTTTATTATTATTATTAAAAAAATTTCCATCAACACATGTTATTTTTTCCAATCAAACACATGTCTGGTATTTGCTAAACTAATACATGGAATGTGCAGAGATGGACAGGCTAACTATGAGGCTGAAAACTTGATTTCTAGTGTTAAGAAAAAAAAGCTAGAGTGCAGGTAGTCCTTGACGCATGACCATAAAAGTCATCTTAATAATAATAATAATAAAAAGTTGGAAGGGACCTTGGAGGTCATCTAGTCCAATCCCCTGCTCAGGCAGGAAACCCTATACCATTTGTCTGGTCTCTTCTTAAAAACTTCCAGTGTTGGAGCATTTACTGCTTCTGGAGGCAGGTTGGTCCACTGGTTAATTGTTCTAACTGTCAGGAAGTTTCTCCTTAGTTCTAGGCTGCTTCTCTCCTTGATTAATTTCCATCCGTTGCTTCTTGTCCTGCCTTCAGGCGCTTTGGAGAATAGCTTGACTCCCTCTTCTTTGTGGCAGCTCCTGAAATACTGGAACACTGCTATCACGTCCCCCCTTGTCCTTCTCTTCGTTAAACCAGACCTTTTTTTTTTTTGAGGTGTTAAACAAACCACCATAGTCATTAAGTGAATCTGTGGTCATTGAGCGAATACTGAGGTTGTTAAGCAGACCTATTGTTTGCTATGGGGTGTTTTTGGCCAAAAAATAGAAATGCCAATTTTGGGCAAAAACCTAATAAATCACAGTGCTGTTGACAGCGGGATGCTGCAAAGACCTATACATGTAGGCCAGTGGTCAAGCACTCAAAATGTGGTCACATGACTGAGGGGAGGTCGGTCGGAATTTTGGAACTGGGTTTTAAGTACCTTTGGGGGAGGATCTGTTGTAACTCTGAACAGTCGCTAAGGGACTGGTCGTATGTCAAGGACTACCTGGATCCCAATTTACACAACTTAATTTTTAGAAAATGACAGCGCTAAACCAAACCTACAAAATGTACTTCAACCAATTGGAAGAAAGGCTATTGCTAGAGAAAGGTTAAGTACACTATTTCTTCTGGAGACTCTGTAATTTAGCTTTAAAAATGAGCTCAGAGAAGTTAGCATCCGCCAACAAATGCGTGTATTATTCTACTAAGAGATGGAATGGAGCCTGATCTTCTGGGTTACAAGAGAGAAGAGGCTGACAGCTCTCTTCCTGAGTTTAGAGAACGGAGAAAGAATTCCAGAGTATCGGAGTATCCTGCTTTTGTAGCCAGAGAGGCGGAGAGAAAAGTAAAATATAAAATTTGAAATACGGAAGCAAACACCGCCATCTTTTCCACATCCTCAGTAAAACCGCTGGCAATTAGCAGGATTACATTCATACACATAGTCTACAATGAAATTAATTTACTTGTCCAAAGTCTGTTTGACGAGTATCCAAAGGAATAACACAAGAGTCGTGGGATGCCAGTACTTCACGCAGCAGAGCAAGTGTTTGATTCAGTGCAGGACTTGGACCAAGATCTGCAGGTGGCAGTTCAACCTACAAAAGAAGCCAGAATTTCTGAGCTCAGAAGATGTGTTTATACTGAAGCCTCGGTACACAGAGGAATAGAGTAGTAATCAAAAACGCCACGAATAAATATACAGTATATGGATTATTAGAACAATGTTCTCCAATCTGGTGTCCTTTAAAAGATTTGGCCTTCAACTCTTAATAATTTCCAGCTAATATAGCCTTTCAGTTTGGGAAGATAATGGGGTAATACAACCTGAAAATGGTTACATATACTTGTCTGTTTACAATTTCTGTAATCTACTCCAATCTAAAGAATGTGGCATCACCTAGACAAGCTAATATGAAATCTTTAAGCAAATATGAAATCTAGAAGGCTCCACACTGGGGAAATGAAATTACAACTTTTAATATATAAGCAACAATCCTTCCATTCCCACCTTCCTTGAAAGAAAAAAAAAATGGAAAAAAGGAAGCCATGTTGCCAATGTCAGTCAATCAGGTTCTGTCATGCCTTCAAACAGCCCACCCCCCCAAGCTGCTTGTCCTCTGGGTGCCACCTCTGTAAAAGCGGCGACTACAGTGTAGAAACGAATTGGAGAACAGGATAGATAAGATTTGTGACTGACAAGCATGCTGATTGACACAAGAAACAGAGGTATGTAATGCAAAATAAATGAGTTTGGAGATCACTTCCTGGCAAAGCACAGGTCAGGCTTCCCATTGTGCAAAGGATCTGTTGCTGACTGAGAAAGAGAAATGCAGCCCTGACGTCAGCCTTTTGTAGCCCTATATATTTAGCAGGAGAGTATGTAGGTAAACTGTTTTTCAAACAGACCTTATCCAGCAGTTTACTCGCATGGAGATTCAAACTATTGAAGAATATCTTTCTGCTCAAAAGATGCATCTCTTCTATCGTAGTTAACAGCATGGCTGCACTGTTTCCTATAATATTACTGAAATTGAAAATAAAAAGTATGCATGTGAGAGAGGAAATAAAGAGAATTTATCGGATTCAGGGATTAACAGGTGTAACTATTCCACTTAGAAGGAGGCTTTAAAACAAAAGGGAATTTATATTTTAAAAATGTCATGCCTTGCTATAAAGAAAAATTGTCTTTCCCCTAAGTCCTTCCTTTCTATGTTTCTCAAGAGCCAGAAGGAAGTTCACCCTGGGAAAACTACTATCTCATCATGAAGCAAGACCATGACTGAAGCTGGGAGAAAGTTGTAGGGGGAATAAAACACAATAAGCAGCACCCTCTCCATTCCAAAGTAAAGCAAATCTGCTGACAACTGAACAGATTTAAAGGACACTGAGACAAATGACCACCCCCCTCAGAAATTCATTAGGTAAAAAACAAAGTTCCTTTTCTCCTCAGAAACAGAAAAGCGGGATATAATCAGGGTGGAATTTCAGAGCTGTACCAAAAGGCAGACCAATTTTTTTTCCTTCGTATTTTCCTCAAAGTGGTTTGTTTCTTTTTTTCCTCTGAATCTTGATCCGCTGTTTCAAGTGCTGACCCACTGTTTGTGATAGGAATTAACCAACTGGCTTGTCACCCAAGCCTTATATAATAGGATGAGACAGAGACAGAGACAGAGACAGAGAGAGAGAGAGAGAGAGAGAGAGAGAGAGAGAGAGAGAGAGAGAGAGAGAGAGAGAGAGAGAGAGAGACTGGTCCAAAGTCACTCAGCTGGCTTTCATGCCTAAGGCAGGACTTGAACTCACGGTCTCCTAGTTTCTCACCTGGTGCCTTAGCCACTAAGTCAAGCATATCTCTAAAACTCCTTCCTAAAAGTCTGCTTTGTTCAATAATACAGGAATACATTTTATACCGTTTGCTAAAGGTATCAATTGAGGCTCACTGCCCTCCTCTTAGGGACCTCTCCTAGAAGGCCACGGAGCAGCTACCTCTTCCCAAATCACATATTCCTACCTCCAGTTCAATGAGAGATGGAAGTGTATGGAACAGTGAACAGTAACTAATGGGAATTATCCAGTGAGGTTCCATAAAGTTTAATATTGTCACAGTTGGCTGTTTCAACCTGATCAGAAACAGCTGCTAAGTGCTGATGGCATCAAGCCATGTAACAAATGAATATCTTTTCTCAATGCCAGGTATTATATTGCAAAGCAGTACAGTGACACTATATTATGCTACAATGTAACTCTTGAACACAACCAGTTCTTCTCAAAACAGTCTTTTTTTAAAGTTTACTTACCTAATGGTGTGATGATAGAATTTGAGAAGATTGGAAATTTTATACAAAAGGACTGCTCCGGGTTCAGCTAAGATCACCTGTTCAATTCGAACCTGAGGAAACATTTTAAGAACACACTGTTCAAATGCACACTTCATCTTCGAAAAAATAATACTATACGATTTTAAGATTACTCCTTTTTTAGGCTAGCAACCTCTGCAGGGATATATTTTAAATACTAGCCATTCATGGTTCAATTTTGTTTCATATAATAACGAGAAATGCAATCTCCTTGGGAAATAAGCAATCCACAAGGTTCCCTTGTATGCAAGTACTTATGCTATATATGTTACTATTTGTAAACTACTTTTTCAGTTTTTCCAGTTTTAATACCAAGGGCTTTCATAAAACCAAACATTTCACCTTGAGTGGCCGGCAAACACCTTCTGTGATGTGTCCAACTATTTCTTGCATATTTTCTTCCACTCCTGAAAATAGAAACAATGTATATTAAAAATAGGAATGTTAGTTCCTGTCGTTTAGACAGAAGAAATTCAGCCACTGTCTTTTCCCCCAAAACAGTGCTTCTCCTAAAATGGCTAAAATTCCATTCTCCTGCAGCACTTGGCTTCACCCCATATGTAATCTATAGGACAGAAAACTCCCAGATGAAATCCCCCTCCTTGGAATCTTGGCTCAGAAAATCCCAAACCCAGAGTTCTTAGCTTTGTACAATACCTTCTGTGGTTATGTGTTTCAAAAGAGCCTCCAGGTGCTCTTTTTCAGAAGCAGTAGCTTGATGCAGCCAAGCCAACATGTCTCCCATATATCTAAAGCCAAAAAAATACTCTATTAAAAATAAATCTTCCTATTCGTAGTAGTTAATGCTATAAATATGCATTGCCACAAGTAACGTACCTCAAAGGATCATGGGAATGCATTTCAATAGGCCGAGGTGTTCCTCCTGGACGTCCTCTAGTAAGAGCATCTATAAAGCCCCGGACCATAGCACTTCTTCTGGCTGTTCCAAATTCATCAAGGGTATATCTACAATGGGGAAAAAGTATGCACTTACAAGTTGTGGACATTTTAGTTGCCCTCCTTAGTGATCAAAGTACCTTGATGAATGGAAATGTAAGATTATGCATAAAATTCAATTTCCTAAATAATTTACCAGCCGATGCCCAACACCAACATATTTTTAATGGCCACCAAATCATCATGTGAAAACTTTGTTGTCCTACTTCAGCATGCAAACAGAGGCTTATGTTTTACAACATAAGAAAACAAATGATTTATTTTGTTCGAACTATCATTTTCATTAGGATTCAATATAAGACGGGAAATTACATAAATTACACAAACTAAAAAACATAGGCATTCAGGTCACTATCAAACTGCCTGAAAACAAGTAAAATGATTTGTTTACTTGCTTTCAAGCAGTGGATAATAAGCTCACTGGAACAAGTTGTAACTGTTGTTTGTTCTAGCAATAGTCAGGACAATTCTAGAAGAAACATTTAAAAGAAAGTATGCTATAAAAAGAGAAAGGACTTTTGTTTTATATTAATATTTATATTAATAAACAACACAATTCCACTTTTAATTCCATATCAATTCCATAATTCCAATTGTAATTATAATTCTGCAGAAAGCATCTATGGGGGGGGGGGGAAACCCTGTCTATACTTTGATTCAATATCAAAATTCTAAGTTTTTAAAAATAGCATAATCATTTTGAATGACTGCACTGTATGTTGTATGTGAATATTGCCTGATGCTTTATTGTTCTTGCCAAATGAATGAGGAGAGCCAAAGGAGAAGTGACTGTAGTTTTGGTGAGGCACTTGTTATCACTTTGGAATCCTTTGGAATCCCAAATGCCAAGATCCCTTTCCAGTATTAAAAGTGAAGATTTTCACAGGAAGAAATGACAACTGGGCACAAAAGTAAAGGAATATATTTGAGGGAAATTCACCTTCATTTCTAAGTTGCCTAAGGAATATACATATCATGTTCAGTGAGTTATGCATTTTAGTGAGGTACACTGTATCAAGATAAGGTAGCTGCTGCCCTGGACATGGTAGACATTACAATATTGCCACCTTGTGGTAAATCTGAAATATATCTATATTCTTCTCTTCTTCTTCTTGTGCCATATCCGTTATCGGACGCTGGCGATCATGTTGGCGATCCTATTTTTATTAGCAGCCGCACGAAAAAGTGCTGCTGAGTTTTGTCCAAACCAATCCCTTAGATTTTGAAGCCATGATGTTCTTCTTCTGCCTGGACCTCCTTTGCCTTCAATCTTTCCCTGGAGGATTAAACGGAGTATGCCATATTTTTCTGGGTGTCGCATCACATATCCAAAATATTCTAACTTTCATTTTTTAATTGTTTTGATGATTTCCCTTGGGATCAATTGTATTACTCGTAATATCTAAATAATAAGCAATGCAAAGCACATCATTAGACTTCTGGGCCACTTCTGCGAATGCCTTCGTTGTGACCCCTAAAGACCCCTAAAAATTATCACTAATGCAAAAAGTAATGTTACAAAGAGGAACTGAATGAAATAACTAGGGAAGTAATATTAACTGTATTTGATTGTTAATTAATGAGTTGGATTTTAATACAAATTAAATTAATTATTCTTGACTTTTACACTTTTTTCTTCTTCCATTTCTATTTTTGGGAATGTCACCTTTGGTATGTGATCCACAGATAAAAAAAATCTTATTTATCCCAGCTTCCAGAGTGTGGTGGGGAGAGGAAATGGCAGATTGACGTGGCCCTATGAACAGTGGAGACAATGTTATGGCAAATACCAGTAGCCTGGCATTAAATCCAGGAGACTGCTCATTTGTGTCCCAAAAGGCTGCTCCTCACAAAGAAGCCCACAGGCATCCCAGGAGTTTGATTGCCAGGAGGCATCGTGGGACAGACAGCCACAGGTCCGCCTACATAAAAACATGGATTTGCACCCTCCACAATTTTCTTAAACACATTTGGAAGACAATTGTCTTTTTAAGTTTAAAGTATCTTTGGAGTAGCAGAGTAATCAAACCACTAGGTGAATGTTCCTTTATCGTGGATTAAAGATAAGAGCAAAGAAGCAATTTAAAGCACTTAAAAATAATTAAAATAATTACTTTAATAAAATAAAAAATAATTAAAAATGAAAGCTTGCCAAGAGTTTAAACTTAAGAAAGTTTAAAACTAAGGGGAGAGTTAAATCTGGAATTATTGACCAAAGTATTTTTGAAACACTTGAACAACGAATATGTATTTCTCTGGGAAAGAGTTTTATTTGAATAGGTTAGCTTTGCAAAACAAAAGATAAGGAAAGTTGCTAAAGCCCATCTGACTATGGAACTATGGAACATTGAATAGGACTAAGATTTAATGATCTGGAGAAAGAGGGAGAAAAGAAAAAATAAAACGACTTTATTTCTATTTCCCCTTTCTCAATTGGAATGGCTCCTAGTAGAAAAATAGTGAAACTTACAGAGATGAAAGAACAAGGTATTACACATGAGACATTCCAAAGGATTTTTGAGGAACTGGGACACAAAGTTACAGCTACAATAATAGTATCAATAACTGTATCATTTAAAAGCGATCTGAAAGAAGAAATGAAAAATAATTCCGAAGAATCGGCAGGACAACTGAGTAGAGAGGTGAAACAAATTAAATTCAAGGTGGAAATTTTGGAAAACAAAGCAGCAAGAATGGCAAGAGAATAGAAAGATCAAGTCAAGAGCTGAAAAATAGGCAATGGACTATTACTGGATTTAGGAAATACAGAATCTTGTTTGAGACCAGGGGTACTTAAAGATCAACTTGGTGAAAACTGTAAAGAGAGCATTATTATGGTCTAAAGCAGTGTTTCTCAACCTTGACCATTTTAAGGCATGTGGACTTCAACTCCCAGAATTCCACAGCCAGCGTTGCTGGCTGTGGAATTCTGGGAGTTGAAGTCCACATGCCTTAAAATGGTCAAGGTTGAGAAACACTGGTGTAAAGAACATTCTGATATTATCAATTCTTAACTTGATATTAAGAGGTCATAGGACTTGATCTCTGTCTCTATCTTCTTCTAGAGATAGCGATCAGGTCCTATGACCACTTAATATCATTAAGGATTGATAATATCAGAATACCGCCTAAGAAAAATAAATTCAAAATTAACTTGTGTAACCAGGTTAAGTATTTTTATAGAATATGGGAAACTTTTCATGGACTTTCTGCTGAAAATGGATTAATGACTGAGTTAATGACTTGGATTTGCCAACGGAAAAGGGCTGGAGATGGGAAGAAGCGATCTACAGTATGCAATGTAATTTCAAAGGGGAGGAATTTTGTTTGCAACAGTTCTAAAGCTTAGAAATCACTTATTTAAATATCTTTCTATTTTTTTTATGTATTTTCTATTTTTTCTTTTCTCTATCTTTTTTCTTTTAATTTAATTTTTTTATTATCTTTTATTTTTGTTTAAAAAAATTCAATCAAAATTACTTTTTTAAAAAGCTAACCTGTGCCAAAAGATCATACCCTTTTCAGACAGACAGACAGACAGACAGATTCATCTCCTCTCCCTTACTCTAATGACAAGAGGAAAACAATAAGGCATGTAGCTGCCAAGTTTTCATTCTTGATAGGTAGCCCTTGTGTCTTATTTTGGAGAAATTCTATCTGAAATGGTCACTTAGAATTGAGACAAACTTTATAACAAACACATACATCCCACTATATTAGTTTTTTCCACTGTGTGCTTAACTATAGCACAAACTTACTTGTACAGAACAGGCCTGTCTTGCAAAGCTTCCATTCCCTGAGCTAGAACTGGAGAAACATCACAGGTTTCTTGTGTTAAAGCCCTGCATTCACCTGTAAACAAGTCAACAGTCTCATGTCAATATTACTAAGGATTTGACAACATTTCTCTCCTCATTTCATTGACATTGAACCCTAGAGAAAAAAATTGCATTTTTATAGACGCCAACGTCTGAATTCAGCTGCCCTGGTGAAGTCTGGTTAGATACAACTCTACTTTGCCACTCTGGCAGAAGCCCTCTGTATATTTAGGAGTAGCTGTCTACCCTTCACGTAGGTACTTATTATGGGAAATATAGCGACAGCCACAAAGTAGCTGTGGAAAACACCATGGCTATATAAAACAAGCAAGGCGGGGATGCAGACATTTTCTGTCTAAAACCAGGCAACAAAATCAGACTTTTAGGGAAAGACAATGGTGGTGATTGTTCATGTCTAGAAGACAGAGGGGAAGAACATGTGCAAATTGTCTTCAAGCGGAAAAGGATGAGAGAACTATATGACTGACAGCAGAAAAGTAAAAACTACATGACTAATAAAGCAGCTTTAAATTCTACTGTTATTTAAAAACAAGAAAATCATTCCTGCATATCAAAATGTTATCTTCTTTAAATAAGCCCTCCTGACACAGTGATTAGAATGCAGGATTGCAGGCTAACTCTGCCAACTGCCAGGAGTTCGATCCTGTCTGGCTCAATCTTGACTCAGTCTCCCGTCCTTCTGAAGTCAGTAAAATGAGGACCCAGATTGTTGGGGGCAATATGTTAACATTGTAAACTGCCCAGAGAGTGCTCTAAAGCAGTGGTTCTTAACCTGGGCGATATTGCCCCCCCCGGGGGCGATTTCATTTTTCAGGGGGGCGATGGAATGAAAAGGGGGCGATATGGGGGCGATGGAGCGAGAAGTTTTGGGGACATTTTTGAGACTTTTTCGTACAGTGAATGGCTGTATATTTGTCGTACAAAAACATCAGATCGCTCGTTATTAGTGGATCGAATTGTGTTTTCAAATGTTCCTCCAGCTAGCTTCAGTACAGAATGCCGTACATATATAAATACGCATTGTTATCTTCATGCATGCTGTGCAGCAGCCTCTACCCATACAGTGGCGCGCCACTAGCCAGAATATGGGAGATATGGGGAAAAGACTGGAAATAAATTATTTGCATCGATATGTCCTGATGAACAATTTTAAAGAAAACAAAAAAACTGTTTGCATAAATTGAAGAATTATTTCCCATGTTGTGATTGAGAGGTTATGTTGGGGGAGGGGGGCGATGACAACTTCCTCATTGGCTCAAGGGGGCGATTCGTTCAAAAAGGTTAAGAACCACTGCTCTAAAGCACTATGAAGCAGTACATGTTTAAATGCTATTGCTATCTTTTTTAAGTTACACAATATATGCTTCTAAACTTTGATTAATTCTGAAACCTAGGTAGATTATTAAGTACAGAAAAGTAGCTTCCGAGATTCCTAAATAGAATTCAGATTCAGCATATACTTGGAGCAAGTATGAACTGATTTGCCAGAAACTGCCTTAACAAGTAATCTTATCCATTTTGAAGAAAATGTACTATTGAGATTGCTGTAATTGAGCATACCTTTACTCATGCTATTCAGACTTCTAAAAGCCACCTATCTCCATCTACAACAGGGGTTCCCAACCAGGGGTGCTTGTACCCCCTGAGGGGGTGTAAGATAATTTTCCAGAAGGTGCGAAAACTTGGGTTTTCAAAATTATAGTGTATATGCATAATTCGTTGCAGTTATTTTGAACTTTTGTAAGGGGTGCGAGAATATATCAGAAGCATTTTAGAGGAGTGGGATATAGAAAAGGTTGGGAGCCGCTGATCTACAAGAAAGAATATTTAAATGAAAAAAATAAAATAATTATGATACCTTGTGCCCAACGATACAGCTGTTCGTAAGACGTCTCCTGGAGGAGGGCCATCTGTTCCATAATCTCCAAACTGCAGGTTTAACATGTTTAAAGTCTTTACCAAAAAAGTGAGTAAAAGAAGCAAAAACATCTAAGCCCATATGGGTTTACATTTGTCTTCACGTTTTTATTTTCCAATATAAACCTCAATATGTTAACAACTCAATTTATGAGGTTTTACTTAGTTGATGGTTCCAGTTGTTTTATACAGTGTAAACTCACCCTGATCTTTGTTGACTGGTGCGCAGAAGAATCTTGACATCATTGTGAATTTGCTTTATTCGCCTCAATACTTTAAAAAAATCCTTTAATAAAAAAAGGGCAAAATTAAAAGCTGTGATATTTTATTCAAACTAACTTTGTTTACATAGCTATTGTACAGTCAAATAATCATACCAGAGCACACCTGGTACTTATATTGGAACTATAACTTTCAGAATTCATCCCCAGCTGGCTGGACATTTGGGAACTGCTGTTTCATGCTTGCAGTATGGCATTTAAAACTCAAAATAGGATATTACAAATTAAAATGGGTTTAAACTTGAAACATTTTGTACATTTCTAGCATAGAGAGAAGCAGCTTCATACACAGAGGATGTGAACTGTGTTTAATGTATGTTACTTTAGATCAGGGGTATCAAACTGCCGGCCCACGGGCCGGTTTCATCATACTGGAGCCGTGCCCACCCCATTGCTGGCAATGGTGAAAAAGTTCCGATACGTTGCGCAACGTCGCGAGTTTGACATGCCTGCTTTAGATGGTGATAAAAATATATTGGTTTTGCTCCCTTTTTTAACATAGTGATGGCAATATATATATATATTGTCTAAGGGAAGAAAATAAAGAAAAATAAACCTTAACAAAAAAGCAAAAGAAATATAAGAAAAAATTGTTACATTGGTATGTCAATATAATAATAGTTACAATTCTATCCATTTTTGTCTAATGCAAATATTCAAGTATGTACCGTAAATGTTTCTAATATATTTATATGATTATTTTTAAATATATATATATATTCTGTATGAGAGAGTCCCATATTTCATTATAATTGTCTATACAAGTTCTGTAAGTGTAATCTGCTCATGAGTGGCAAATGCCATTAGGTCTTCATTGGTTTTGCTCCTTTTGGAAACAAGCTCTTCAAACATGAGGGACTACAAGGAAGACACCATCTCATTGTATATTGGATGACTGTGAATTCAGAATTATCATTCAAAAACATACAATTTAGAAACCAAAGTAAACTGACTCCACCCATTCCAAACTTATTCAGTGTTGTATTCCAAATAGGCTATACGGAGCCAGAGTTTTGTAGTGTAAAATAAAAACTGCTGTACAGCACACTTGTTTTGTGCCGTATCATTTGCTGCTGTGACTAAAGATTAAGCATCTCAATAGCATTTTATTGCTGTTTCCCTTTGTTTTGATAACAGCCTCTGTTTGAAGCTGATTATTTTATTAGATACAATGGACTAGCAACAGGAAAGAGAAGAAACATGTAACAATATCACCCAGGTGGGCAATTACACAGTAGGCAATTACAATCTAAACAATGATTTCCAAGGATACAACTAAACAGTATTATATAGTATCAAGCTATTTTCACCACTTCCACACTGGACATTGCGAATATCAGTCATGGCCCTCCTGTTCACAAATGATTATAATCAGTTCTCATGTTATGAACATTTCTTTGTCTCCTAACTACTCCCATCTCTGGATTACAGAAGATTCTTTTATGTAGGCTCTTCTAGCCAGAATCTTTGCAAAGGATAGATTTAAAAAAAAAAAAATCCGCCCTTATATGTCTGCTATGGAAAGTTTTACTGCAAGTAGCACAATTATTCATATTATCCAAAGAGAAAATGGTGATCAGAAAAGGAAGTCTTTTTATTCAATATTCCAAAGGAGGTCACCGTATGTATTTTAGAGTGCTTACTTCAGTAACTGGCCGATCTCTGGTGCTTCGAAGGACGTTCATCTCCTCTGGAGAAAGTTGGAATTCTGCTATGAAGGCATCTGCTATTTGTGCTTTTAATTCTAACCTTTGGCTGCAATAAAAAAAAATGGATTCAGTTCATGACCATTATAATTTATTTCGCATAGGCTTAAGAGGTGGCAGCCGTTCAAGCAGGACAGTCTTAGACCAGGGGTAGGCAACCTTGGCTCTTTTATGACTCGTGGACTTCAGCTCCCAGAATTCCTGAGCCAGCATGGCTCAGCTTGGAAACCTCTCCCTTTCCCCTCAGCAAGGCTGGCTCAAGAATTCTGGGAGCTGAAGTCCACGAGTCATAAAAGAGCCAAGGTTGCCTACCCCTATCTTAGACAGTGCACTTTCTTCTTCGGAACAGAGGAAGAAAAAGGAGATGGACATAAGGGAGAATAGGAGGTTATACGGGTAGTCTTTGACTTGAAACCAAAACTGAACCCAGAATCTTGGTTGTTGAGCCAAGTGGTTGTTAAGCGAGATGACACAAGTAGTTTGTGTCATCTCCCTTAACTGCCTGTGTGGCTGCTTCACTCAGTGACTTCAAATCCAGCAGTCCCATCTGCAGTTGTTAAATGATCCTTAGGTTGTTAAGCGTAAGTCCCAAATAAGAAGCATGCACTGCCTTGGGGAGGGGGGGAGGGTAGGCCCGGCTTCTGATTTTTTAGCTTCTGGGGGGGAAGAGATACTTTTATGTGGCCTGTGCCAGGCCTCACCGGGCCTCCCCCGCCCCAAGGCACACTGTGCTGCTTACTTTTGCAGCTCTACCTATCATGCTGCCTTTATTGTTTATGGGAGGGAACTTTCCTTCAGTGGGGTACAGATACAGAACTCATCAGAATGTGAGCCTGAGTTCTGCAATCCGCAGAAGGATGTCATCTCTCCTTTGTGCACGGAAGGGAATTTCTCCCAAGGGGTGCAGAAACAGGATTTAAATTCATCCGGAACCGAGCTCCATTTTTGCATCCCATGAGAGCCTGTCACCTCTCCTCTGTGCTCGGAAGAGCAACTCTTCCAAGGGTTCAGAAGCGGAGTTCAAATCATCAGGATCTGATGTCAAATGATGGCTTCTGTTTTCGAAAGTGTTTTTTAAGATGAAATAAGTTAAAAAAAAAAACACTTTTAATGTTACCATTTGTTAAAAGAGACATAGACATCTAGAATACGGACATTTTATCCACTTAAAAATGGTATACAGCAATTCAGAATATACATAGATGTCTCTTAAAACGGCACACATGAACAAGGAAGGAATCAATGAACAAGCAGGAGAAAGCAGCTGATTAATAAACTAAATGTCTGGAAATACTTGACAGACTGTGATTGTTCAACCAGCCTCAATTTATATCTAATTACTGGTTTCATAAAAAAAAAATCACAATTTTTGAACCACTCACAACAAGCATTTACCACATGTATTTGTACTTAAAAGTGCAAAAGCCATGTTATTGGAAGGGTCAAGCCCAATAAATGGAGGATTTTGTATCAGAACATACTTTGTCCATTATTTTCAGATTTAAAAAATCCAATAAAGCACAATTTATATATATTCTATAGCAGAGTAGAATCAAATTCCCCTCCCAGAAAAGCCTACTTGAAACTTGCATTGTGGCCTTTCCATTGAATATTAAATTATTTTTATTCTTTCTATATACAATAACACTGCTAGAAATCATATTTTATACTGTATAACTGAATAATTGCTGGCTTATATTAATGCCAGTTTTAGATTTTAGAATTTGACGTCCTTGTATTTTATTGATTTTTCTCTATTCTGTCCCACAGGTTCATCTTCTGTGAAATTTTGAAATGCAGTTAGTAAATAAAATTTTGAAACCAATCTGTTCCTTTTATTTCCTTCTCATGTGACATCCATTTTTAAACCTGTTATCTAAATATCAGATATAAAAACAGAGCTAGAAGATTTTCAGGATGGACTAACTTCTTACCAAAACATACAGTGGAAATTATTTCTCTAGGAATAGAGAAAGCTGCACCTAATAAAGCAAAGTAAAGTAGCTCTAAGATTATTATTCAGAATAAAAGTGAATGACAAAAACAATTCTCATTTATCTTAAGGGGAAAATGTTTACCTCTCTGCTTGAAGCTTTGTCGTTTTGACAATTAAATCCTGAGTTTGCTCCTTAGTGGCCTGGAAGACATATATGGATAATTAAAATGAGTTGCTATTAAGGACATAGTTTTACTCTTAAATATACTATATATTACTTAAATATGGTAAGAATGAATAGAAGAGCAAATTAAAGAATCTAAAATTTCCTGTTTTGTCTCACTGACTGGGACACAGGCTGAGCATTTTTTAAAAAAACAATTATTGCACGTATATTGCTTTCTTAACATTTGAACTGGGAACAAATTCAATATTGCCAGGCTAAAGAGAGGACTATTGTGGGACAGACCCAGATACATTATAGATCTGCTTCAAAAAATTCATCAATATTTCTTTTCATGCAAGTCTTTCAACACCTCTGTTCGTGAACAACCTTTACAGTGCCATAAAAAAATGCTGTGTGGTGTCGTATTGCTTGTAAGTAACATTTCCAGAGGAAAAAAATGTGCACTTTCCCCATCACATGCACAATACCTTCAAGTGATTAGTCATATCCTGGCAGCAATTGCTCATGAACTGCACATCTTCATTTATGTTTTCAAGCTCCTGAAATTGCATGGAAATAGACATTATAACAGGTGGCCTAAAATATTTATTTATTAAATTTATATACCGCCCATTTCACCCATTTGAGGTGACTCTAGGCAGCTTGCAATATAATAAAATATAAAGATGTAAAAAATATGAATGTAAAAAACAGATTAAAATAACTAAAGATTAAATACAGACTCAAAGACCATGGGTTTTGAACAGAGCAGCAACGAGGCCTTCTTTGTCACTGCACCAACCGCCTACAGCTTCTGCATCAGAGCCTCATGCCAACCGGCATGGCCAGGTTTTAAGGCTCTTCCTGAAGGCCAGAAAGGTAGGGCCAGATCTCACCTCAAGTGGCAAGATGTTCCAAGGGCAGGGGTCGTGGCAAAAAAAGCCTCTTCTCCTGGACTCCTCCAGCCAAAATTCCTTGGCTGATGGGGTCCCTTCTGCCAGAATGAGTGGGATGGGCCAATATTATATTTGGATTTTGCATACTTTTTCCTGAACCCATCTCCTCAAATTATTTTGACAGTTTTTTTCAACCAGCACATTTCCTACAGTTCTACTGTACATTAATAAGAAACAATAATAAGCAATCAGGAGTTTGCTTAATTTTTTCCCATGAAGTATGACTTTTGGATTCCCATGTTGCTGCAACAACCCCTGGATATTCAATATATAACTGTAGAAATGTTTTTCTATCTTATACAGACTTTGTAGCTTGAAATAAGAACACTGCAGGCTTCAAAAATCTTTGAAAATGCAGCTTTTTGTGGATATTGTAATAATGTTAATGGAAGCTGAACAAAATAAAACTGTCCAATGAAAGAAGAATGATACTAAATATTTTTCTGGTGCTCTTTAGATTTCAGAACTCTATCAGCCTGTCCCTTCCTTACTCTCTACTTTTTTTTATTCTCTCTAACCATTTTCATTCTCTCCATCCATGAATGTGCGGGATCATACTAGCAATTTTCTATTTCACTGGCACATTTCTTCCATTTTAGAATATGAATTATTAGTACAACTCTCTCCCTAATTTATTCTCCTGGTGTCCTCTTTATTTGGATTTTTGTATGTCAGCGTATGAGTTGTAAGTGTTGGGCTATGAGCTATCCAGCCTAAAAGTTTAGGCTAGTGCCGTAGTTAATCTGAAGCCAGATTTCCCTAACCTGATACATTCCAGATGTGTGGCAGCCATCAGCCTCTTATTTCCCAGATAGTAAGACCAAAGATCCTGGCTGCTTTATCTTCCCTACTATCTGTTCAAATAACATATACTGGGATTAGTTACAGAGAGAAATTTTTCTTTTATATCTTAAAACAAGGTTTTAGAAAAAATATAATTAATACATTTGTTTAAATCAATAAATAATAAGAGCCATTAGTATTTTGGATTCAACTTAATACTATTTTTGGAGCATTAACTATTTCTCTCAACAAATTCAAGATTACTTCTATCAGCAGAATTGAAAAGTGTCCCTTGCCATCTAAAGCCCTTGAAACTTGCTCCAGAAACTGGGGAAACCTCCAGGACAAGTGGGAGAAATTACGGGAAGAGAAAAACAGATGGGTTTTCTATTAGAGAAAAGAGAGCTCCTGCTCAAACATAATTTCATCTTATACCTTTTAATTTGATTATATGAATAAATTTGTCAAATAATGTACACATTGTTTCATTAAACCGTATTTTCTAAACAGACAATAAAAAAAACTTGAAGAAAATATTAAATTATGCATAAGAAAAACAGTAGATTGTATAACAACCTGCAGTACCACAGCAGCTACCAGTTGAGTTTATCTGGAGAACGATTCATTTTTTTCATTTTTTCTATACCTCTTTCACTTGTTTGAAAATGTAGACAAATTCTTCATTGATAGCTAAACTACGATGCTCAATATCCCCACGCAGATTTCTTCTAGTGCGCAAGCTGTTTTCCACAAAAAAGTCTGAAAGAGTCTTGAGCGCTTCTAACATTTCCTACAAAAATATGTAATAAAGACAATGTTGACAATTCAGGCATAAAAAGTACCCTAAAAGATACCTAGTTCTAGGTTTTCAATCACTGCACGTGTTCATGTTAAATGATGTGACATATTTAATATAAATATAAAATGCATACGTTATCCCATATTCAATCACTTCTAACCATAGACTCGTATAGTGTAGTGCAGCATAGTGTACAGTATTAGTATTAAAATAGTTTGGCTTGTGAACACATCTTAATTAACAGAGCACGTTGTAGGCATTATATTTGCCATGGTAGCAATTTTTGGCCATTTAAAACATGGCTCTAACCAGTCACACACACAAAAAAATCAGGTATGACAGAAATCTATGGTAAGCACTGAGGCAATATCTGCAGGCCTTCTGGTTCCATGGATTATACAGGGGAAACTTTGTTGTAAAGAAAAGCTTTAGTGCTGCTCAAGTGGCAGTCAACAGCCCCCATTCCTTTCTACTTCAAAAGAAGCACTTAGAACAGTGGTTCTCAACCTTTTTAATGCCGCGACCCCCAACCGGTCGTAAGTTGAGGACTATCCAACCGGTCGTAAGTCGAGGACTACTCAACTGGTGCAGCACTGTTTGCAGAATGGGACTTTTGGCGGGCTCAGCAGGGCAGAGACAGCCTGGACAATTCCTATTGGCTTTTGAAAGCCAATAGAATTAGACTCTATTCAAGAGAGTCTATTCTATTGGCTTTCAAAAGCCAATAGAATAAAAGGGAGTAGCACAGCTAAGGCAAAGGGGAAAAAAATGGCGGACTGCGTTGTTTGGCGACCCCCGTGAAATGGTCATTCGACCCCAAATGGGGTCCCGACCCACAGGTTGAGAACCACTGACTTAGAAGCACACAAAGAGTACACACAGAATTGTCCTGAGGGCAAGACAAGAAGCAATGGATAGAAGCTGATCAAGGAGAGAAGCAATCTAGAACTAAGGAGACATTTCCTGACAGTTAGCAACAATTAACCAGCGGAATAACTTGCCTCCAGAATTGTGGGTGCTCCATCATTGGAGGTTCTTAAGAAGGGATTGGACAGCCATTTGTTTGAAATGGGATTCCTGCCTGAGCAGGGAGTTGGACTAGAAGATCTCCAAGATCCCTTCCAACTCTATTATTCTGTTACTATGCTAAAAATCTGATAAGAAGGCAGTTTCATAACTTAAAACCTGCTCTCTCGTATTTATTTATTTATTTATTTATTTATGAGACTTATATACCGCTTTAAGTGCAAGCACTCTCTAAGCGGTGTACACCAGTAAGCAATGTATATATATATATATATTTACATTGCCCCCAACAATCTGGGTCCTCATTTACCTACCCCGGAAGGATGGAAGGTGAGTCAACCTTGAGCCGGTGAGATTTGAACCGCTGACCTGCTGAACACAGTCAGCTAAAGTGGCCTGCAGTACTGCACTCTAACTGCTGCGCCACCATATATATCTCCCTTGCTAAGAAACCATGTACATCACAAGATCTGTGATTTCACAATGCAGTTTGTACTCACACATGTGAGTTATGATTAAATAATGGATTTGTTATCTGTTGCTATAAATACTGGGTGTATGCTTCACACCTAATTCTGGTAGCACAGCAGCATCAATAAGTCTGTGAGCATGAAATAGACCAGCAGTTGGAAATATTTTTGTGACTGTGCATACCAATTGTGAGAACCCATGCCTCACAAAATACAGCTTTTTGTACATCTTTTATGAAGCAAATTCAAGGCTGATAATGCCACCTGTTTGTAGAGAGGTGAGTTTCCTTTGTAAAGTATCTGTATATATTTAAGAATATCTAAAGATTTTTCTTCTTTATATTTTTGCATTAATCAGCAGATGTTGAAATAAATTTGAGGGTGGGTTTTTTTTGGTCAGTATTAAGAAAAAAAATCTATTATTCTATAATATGTTTAATAAGAACTGTAAACAAAGAATGGAATTTTAAAGCCTAGGGCAGTGGTGGTGAACCTATGGCACGGGTACCAGAGGTGGCACTCAGAGCCCTCTCTGTGGGCACACGTGCCGTCGCCCCAGTCCTAGACCTTCAGCTGGGTTTTATAAAACCTTTTCGCTTTTGGTCTCCAGTGCCGTGTTCCCCCCCCCCAAAAGGTTCAATCAATCAGTCAATTTCAACTTCTCGCGGGAAAAAAAAGATCTTGCAAAGTTGGAATTGATTGATTGAACTTTTTAGTTCCACCCAGTCTGCCGTTACCACCGCAGCCACATCCACCCAATGGGCCATGCCCACCCAATGGGCCACACCTACCCTGTACCCGACAATGCGTAAGTGGGTTTTGGCTTGCAGTTTGGGTACTCGGTCTCTAAAAGGTTCACTATCACTGGCCTAGGGGTACATATTATGAGATTTATGCCCTAAATGTGTGGTTTTGGCTCTATAGTAGACCCAGGGAACTTTTCTCACTATAATCTGTTGCCACAAACTGTGGTTATAAACTATGAGTATCTATGTTGACTCCTCCCCCCAATCCATAATGCATGCCTTAAATCAGGGGTGTCAAACTGGTGACCGGATGCATCACGCACAGGCCATGCCCATCCCAGCTGTGCAAAGGCAAAAAAAGTGGCACTATATCACGATATGTCACATGATGAGATCGAGTTTGACACCCGTGCCTTAGATCCATAATTTTGCTACTCAAAACATAGAGGATTTTATAACAACCGTTAACATAAACTTTACAGCACCACAGAATTTATATATAAAAACATTAGGATCTGTTAAGGATTTGTGCCTTGGATTTATCAAAACAACACCATGAAACAGATGGTCCATTTTTGTTATACTGTACACATGTCACACAGAAGAGCTGTGAGTGGAGGATAGACTTAATTCATATCCATCTATTTGCAATTATTTTTGGAGAGCAATATGTAACAGTGATTCTGTGATATCCAATGTGATACAAGCCCACAAACAAATTTTGCCAGAACATTACATTATAAACACCATGGATCTAATGCTTCAGTGTCCTCACAATATAAAATATGACCCCAAGAAATAGGTTAGAACAGACATGTCAAACACAAGGCCCGGGGGCCAGATGCGGCCCGCAAAGTGGTTTCATGTGGCCCGCGAAGCCATCCTGGAAACAGCGAGGGAACGGCCCCCTCTACCTTGGCCCTGGCCTAGGCCAGCCGGGAGCCAATGTACAATTTTATGGTGGCTATCTATGCTGAAACGCATTCAGTCTTAGCTCCATAAGCCCCCCCCCCCCCCCGGCATGGCCTGAGAGAAACAGTGAGGCTCCTCCAGTGGACCATGCCCTGGTCCTACCCCCTTCTGCCAGAGACCCTTAGATCTATCCCACTCCTGCCCAGGCCCCCACAGGCACTCTTAATGCAAACGATGTAGAGCTGGCCACACCCATCCAGTAGGCCACACCCACTCCATCCACACCCACCTGGCCCCCTGAGGACAACCGCAATGCTGATGCGGCCCTCAATGAAATTGAGTTTGACACCCCTGGGTTAGAGTTTTGTGGGCAATTTTATTTAATTCATATTCTACCTTTATTATTTTTTATAAACAACTCAAGGTGGCAAACATATACACCTAGTCCTCAATTTATGATAATTGAGCTCAAAAATTCTGTTGCTACATGAGATATTTGTTAAGTGAATTTTGCCCCATTTTATGACTTTTCTTGCCACAGTTAAGTGAATCACTGCAGCTGTTAAGCTAGTAACATGGTTGTTAAGTGAATTTGGCTTCCCCATTGGCTTTGCTTGTCAGAACATCACAAAAGGTGATCACATGACCCTAGGATATGGCAACCATCATAAATATGAATTAGTTGCCAAGTGTCTGAATTTTGATCACGTGACTGTGGGGATGTTGCAATAGTTTAAGTTGAAAAACTATCATCACTTTTTTCAGTGTTGTTGTAACTTCGAATGGTCACTAAATGAACTGTTGTAAGTTAAGGACTACCTGTATAATACTCCTCCCTATTTTCCCCACAAGGTGACTTGGGCTGAAAGAGAGTGACTGGTCCAAGATCACCCAGATGACTTTCATGGCTAAAGCAGGGCTAGAACTCATAGTCTCCAGGTTTCTAGCCTGGTACCTTAACTACTAGACCAAACAACCACATTTATTGATTTTTTTAAAAAATCATTCTTCAGGCTACAGCTGATGTGGCAGTTACGTGAAGAAGTGAGATGGAAATTTCTATTTTGTAGGATGATCTAAACTTTTTAAAAGTGTGTCAAACCTTCTAGAAACATAACATATAGATTTAGCTTCTTCAGTCCTTCCTCACCCAACTCAGGAAGCATCCATATTTCAGCATTTTAGTAACAAATTTTGCAATGTAATCTGAGAGGAAATGTTCTAGGGAAGGTAAATATCAATCTGGGGGACAGACTGCCCAAATTTTCAATAAGCAAGAACCTCAGGATTACTTTACAATAACAATCTGACCATCTCATATATTATCATATGACTACTAATTCTGCATATTGCATTTGACTTATTAATATATTGCACAGTGGTCCTGAGTAAAGCACTATAAATGCAACATCAAATTTTAACTACACATCCTGTGAATATGTCATTATAGATACAATCCAACAGAACATGTTTTTTAAGAACAGCAGGTTCCTCACCTGCACATTTCACTTTCCCATCACACGATGCTGTATTTAAACTGCAACTATGCCATGAACAAAGTCACAAATTTTAAATCACTCTGATCCAATTCTCACATCTAGTCCTTTCAGAAACTGGATACAGGGCATTTAGGTAGGAATTTCCGGGTGTCAAATTACAGGGTTGGGGGGGGGGAATCCATCATGGTTTTTGGAATGAAAATCTTAACATTTCTACCTTCATCCGGGATGAATCATAGGGAATCCTTCTTCAACTTGCCCTTTCCAGTGTGTTCAGTTACAGCACCCATCATGCCCTGCAGCTGGGGATGATAGAAGTTCAATATAGCCGGCTGGGTGCTGTTTTCTGTCCTCTTGTCTTCTAGTCTAGCCGAGGCAGAACCGGCCTCAGACATGACTAGACGCTATTTTGCAGAAAAGTGGAAGAAGAAGGAGAAGAGGGAGGCGACGAATCAACTTGACTTACTTTGTCCGCCTCCAACCGCGTATCTAGCACTTTGCGGAGCTTGCGTGACAGCGGGTTCGCCCCGGCTCCGCCGGACGGCCCCTGAGATAAACTCCCCGTCGTCTGGGTAGCCGAAGTAGCAGCCCCAGCCGTAAATGGGCGCTGCGGCAGGTGTTCTTCGGATATTGCCGCCATTTTCTTCCCTGTCCCGAAATTGCCGTGGTGGCAAACACAGCGCCGGGACCCGGACAAGGTGCGTCGGCGTATAGATTCCCTTCTCTCCTCTTCCCGAGAACTGTAGTTCCGCCTGTTTTCGTTTTCCCCGAGCGCGAAACCCTCCCTCGGATCTGAAATCCTTTTGTTTCTGCAAGACCGCCAGATTCCGATGAGGCGCCTCGTAGGAGTCGGAGGGAGCTTTGCTTTTTCGCGATTGCAATAATTAAAGCGCAATACACGCTTCTAACTTTAATCGCAATAATGAATCATTACATTAATAGGGGTCTTGCATGCAGGAGATATTTAGCTTTAATTTTTGGTAAGACTGGACTCAGGTTTTCCTTCTTTGTATGATTTTCTCGCTGTTGTCTTCTTCAAAATTTGGTAATTAGATTACATGCATAAAGCAATTAACTCTTAAGACAGAAATGTGTGACACAACTGACAAATGTGGCTTCTAGTTGACAACATTCCGAGTTGATCGGAATTCCCGGTGATTCAATGGCCGCATGTAATTTTCTTGCCGTTTGTCATAATTTTCTGGGATGCTTTTTCGTTCCCCAGTGTATAGCTTTGGGATTTCCTGGTAATTTCCCGTGTAGATGTAGACCAAATGGTGTTTAGCTTTTTTTTCTTCTTCTTCTGAGGTGTCCTTGGTACTCTGAACTTGGTTGTCGTTTTTTGCAGACGTTTCATTACCCAAACTAGGTGACATCATATCAGTGCACTGAGGTTGTTACCTAGTTTGGGTAATGAAACATCTGCAGGAAAACAAGCAAGCTCAGAGAGCACCAAGGACCCCTTATGTCAACCCTGAGCTACAAATGTTCCCCTTTATTAGTAGCTTTTTTTTTCTACTTAACTAAAGCTGGCCAGGTGCTGCCACTTGCTGTGCTCTGGCAAGCAATTTTATAGCAATAATTTGTCATAAGACTTAATTCTGAAGTGACTTAGTGACTTATAATGGGATCTATATTTTTGCAATGCCTTTTTTGGGCCAGCCACAATTTTTCAAGTTCTCAGGATCTTTTTACTCAAAGAAGATACATGACTTCTCAACGCCAAAAACTTTGTGGGAGATGGAGAAAAATGAGCTATATCTATCTTATCTATGGTAGGTTATGAGCCATGTTTGTGAGAAGATTATATTATTTGATGAAGATAAACAGTCTCCAAAATTGCAAAACTAAGTTCAGTTATACAAATTGTACAACTGGGACAAAAGTTGCTCAGAAGAAGGAATAAATAAATAAACACTGGTTTTAGAAAACTAAAACCCAGTCTCTTATACAAAAACAATGCTATTTTGGTTAATTGGAAATGCATAGATTATTTGAAATGTGGAAAAATTATGATAATACTAAACTATATATATTTCTATAACATTTTTAAAGTATTTTTTAAAATTATGCTGCGCTGCCATATTGCTTGGGGAAAGGAAAGTTTTGCCTAAGGCCATCAAATTGATTTGGGTCAAAAGCACAGTTCAAATCATATAAATCCTGAGTTGTTTATTGGGCATATTTTATTAAATCTGTTCAGTATACTCTTCTAGCCTCAGGCACATTTGGTCAAGGATACCTACCAGAACCTCTGCTTATTTGCATAACCTCCAGGCATTTTTGGAAAGGTGTTTTCTTTTAAACTGTTGACTAGAGCAGAGTGCTTTATTTATGAGTATGCCATGGGAGTGGGGTGGGGAGATAAACTGAGATTATTTAGAATACACTGTTGGAGTTTAGAAGAGATACCTTCACTTTATAATAGGTGGGGGCAATGCCCATCATAGCCACCATTTTGTAGGAGTCCACAACATGCTCTCAAAATTGTAAACGTATGAATTAATGGAGAAAAAATTGCCTACTTTAATTTAATCTTTAAGTCACTTTTCACAATTTTTGCAGCGTCTTACATACATGCTCAGGAATTTGTGTGAACTCTGATGCTGACTGAACTCATTCTTAGTCACCCCAAGGTGTCGATTTCGGGCAATCATTTAATAAAGCACTAACCTGAGATAAAGGAAACAACGTCATTCTGTAAATACTTTTTACATTTTTAACATTTTTTGGTATTAAGGATGCTATCCAAAACTCTTGACGTTTACAGTAGGAGATGACTTATTTGATTCTCCAACATTGTGAATTTTATCATGCAGAAAACTAGTTGCCTGACAAGAGCCGGAGATACAATGCAACAGAAATCTTATAAATTAAAAATATGGGCAGATAAATAATTGGGAACTAAAGAGATACATACTGTGGGATCTGAGAGACTTCTCAGCTGCATTCAATAGTATCAACCCGAATTTGCTTCTGGAACATTTGGTCAGTGGGACACTTGGGAAACATTTTTTTTCTAGGTTTGCAATGGAACAAGCCTACTTGACTGTATTCTCCCTAAAACACTTCCAGCAGGATTGGTGCTTAGCAGTGGACTGATGATCCATAGGATTTTGGGGGGCTTTGATTGTCCTGTTTTCATCTCAGCAGAAGATAGAATACTGTACATGATAGTGATGTGCTTGTGGACTTTCTCCTCAATAGCTGATAGGCTTTTTCTCAACCCAAATACTTTAATGGTTCATTTTCAGACATACATAAAATAAAATTATCGTATACAAAAGAAAAACTTTAATAATAAATTTGAAACTCGCACAAAAACTATATCCCAAGTTCACCTGATTTTGCAAATCTTTAAAAAGAAACATTGTTTTTTTAATATTGACCATGAATATTCAAAAATGTTTCCCAAAGGAAAAGATAATGTGACATTTCCTGATTAACTAAATATATAATTTTCTCAAACACTGCTAAATCATACATCTCTGAAGTCCAGTCCTTCATACCTGGAATTATAGTATCTTCTCATTTAAGGATTATATTTTTTGTTATTGTTAAAACATGAAAACTCTCCTTTGTTCTGAACATGTTGAATTCTAAGTAATTGGTGGATAAATCAGTACAATGTAGGCATCTTTAAAAACTAGAGTGTTCTCAATAATTCTGTCAATGTAATGTGTACCATTACTCCAAAAAGGGTGTAACAAAAAATATGGCCTTAACATATGATTAAAGGGTCCTCAAATTTCTTGCAATACCAATACAAATAATCATTTGTCAATCTTTTATAAAACATTCTAGATGGTATCTAGTACATATAAAAGCCAATCTATTGAATGAATTTCATTTTTAAATCACAGGACAAGCCTTTTTCACTATCTACTCTACATGTACCTCATTATGACTCAGGCTTGTCCCAACGATCTGGAAACACAGTAAAAGGACACATATTCTGATGGAGAATATCAAGGGTTTTAGCAGGCTACTAAACTAGATCACATGTTCATCTTCTGATAAATGGTGTTTCATGGCTGGCTGTGTCCACCATAGTAGCATGACATGAATTGGCTAGACTAGAGGAAGTGGTCTAGATCAGATGTTTTTTAATGTCTTCAGGGTATGGAAACTCTAGTTTAAAAAAAAAACCTGGAATCCATGATCAAAAAGCATAGTTCTAGTGACAGAAATTTATTGTGTTGGAGATAACTTTTTTTTAATCTCTAGTCTCTCATGGAACCCCCAGCAAGTTCTTATAGTGTCCCAGGATTCTGTAGACGACCATTTGAAAAATCCTGGTCTAGACTTGTGGAAATGGGTCTCACCATTGTGCTGATGCTACCCAGCTGCATCTTTCTTTTTAGCTGAAGCAAGACTCTTGAAATTCTGAAATGTTGCTTGGACATAATGATGCATGATATGATTAATAAATTGAGGATCAGCCCATACAAAAAAGTCTTCTGGCTTTTTGATAAGATTGATTCAAAGAATAAAACCTGAGAGATATCTTTCTTCAGTTTATTTAGATACCAATATTCAAAAGGTACTAGATGAAGAAAGACAGAGTGAAGCAGATCCCTGAAATTATACCCAACAACTGTCTTCTGAGCTTACAGTAACATCATTTTCACTGAATTAAGGTCCCCTGCCAAATTCTGTCTGAGCTCAGAGACAGCTATGGCACAAGGCAAAATAAAATTACCAACTGTTTTAGCATCATGAGAGAGGAGGCTAACCATGGTCTAGCCCTCAACTGTGAATTTCCCCAACTCCATGAAATTTCACTGGGGCCTGTACAGCTGTCTGGTAGATAATACCTGATGTGCTAGTAAAGTATAGTCTTCAAAAGGTTTTGTTTCAAGTGCTCCATCTGCCATCTACTTAGCCTCTTTCCTTCCTCCCTGCGCAGTCTAATTATAGGATTGGGATTTATATTTGGAATGTAGAATAATTCTTCAGATGTACGCATTCACATTCAACCTGATTTCTCAGAGTTCCTGGGAAATACTGCATCACATTTTGCCATTTTCTATGCACTTCAAATATTGGCATTACCATCACATTCTTTTTTCAGAGATCATTGGAAGGAGTTAATCACCTGAAGAGTAAGAACTGAAGATGACCAACTTGAGGTCCCAGGACTATACACAGTTCCTAAAAGTCTTGATGGCAGCCTTCAGAGAGCATCAAAAGTTATTATCAAATTGTAATTTTAATTCAATAGAAGGGAAAAATTATTGTGTATATGATTAATAATCATGTGAACAATAATTACATAATAATAAAAATAATAAATAGGTTTAATGAATAGGTTGAGAGTTAAATCCTAGGTAGCGGCAGATACTTCTTTCCTAGGGCTCAAAGAAAAAATATCTGCTGCAAACTCCGTGTGGCATCAGGAAGGGCATCCGGCCAGTAAACGCTCAGCTTCATCCAGTCACCCTGACTCTACCCTGAATTAAGAGATTATAGGGTCATAAAAAAGGAGGGTTTTAATGATCCCTATATAAAATAAATCAAATTTAGTCCCGCCCTTACTATAATTACTTTTCAGAAAGTATTGGAGTCCTCAGCATGCTATCGAAGGCCACATATAACTCTTGGCCTGGAATAAGATGTGCTTATGAAGATGTTGGAGATCATGATGGCACAGACATTCAAGATGATAGTTTAATACTTGCACCTGTTTTTACATTTTAACACAGAATTATGTCATAGATATGCACATCAAATTCCTATTAACTTAAAAATTTGCATGTGAGGTGCAAATTTGACACATTAAAACCAAGGCTATCTTATTTTATATCAATATTATTTGATTCTTAAGTGAAAATATACTATGATTCTGGAAAAAAATGTTCTAAATCAGATATACTGTATATATCTTAACAATTTATAACCTGAAGTGACAATGGCATATATATAGCACATTAATGTTATAAGCTATATGACCACTGCAACATTTTTTTCAACATCCAAAATTTGTTGAGTTAAAGTACTTAAGCTCTGCAAACAGTTGATGTTTTACTATATTATTACAGAACTATTGCAAAGCACAAGTCTCTTTCGATTGCAATGCAGGTAACTCAAATAAATACATAAATCTAATGTGGTGTACTTAATGAGATTTAAAGTTGTTCAAAGTAGTGCAACATTTATGTCAAATAGAGTACATTTTAATATTGAAAAAGCAGGCTAGATAATAAATCAAAACCATTTTTACTGGAATCCTTAAACACATAACAGACAATAGTAAGCAATTCTCTATATTGACTTTTTAAGAAAAACAAAACGTTGAAAATGATAAGTGTATTAACATTAACATATTGAAGAGCCATGCTCATAAATTCAATCAGCTGTCCAAAAATGAGGGGTCCTTGGTGTTCTCTGAGCTTGCTTGTTTTCTTGCAGACGTTTCATTACCCAAACTTGGTAACATCATCAACATCTGCAAAAAAACAACCACCAAGTTCAGAGAATACCAAGGACCCTTCATTTCAACCTGAGCTGCAAATATTCTCCTATATCAGTGGTTCTCAACCTTTTTAATGCCGCAATCCCCAACCGGTCGTAAGTCGAGGACTACCCAACTGGTTGTAAGTCGAGGATTTTCCCTGCCCGGGAGCACCGCGCATGCGTGGTGCTGCCCCCTGCGCCAGCCGAGGCGTAGCTGGCAAGTGGCAGAGACGGCGCAGGCCGACCACTGGCTGGGCCACCAGCTGGCCCAGCCCAAGGGAGGTAAGGCACCCGCTGCGCCCCACGCGCGCCAGCAACCCTCCCTGCGCCCACTGGCCTCCCACCCCTGGCCCTCTTTTACTTACATTTTTAGTAGTTGCTCAGCAGGGAGGGGGTGGAAACTTCCAGACAGCTCGCCTTCGCTGCAGACAACTTGCAGCATGTTTGCAGAATGGGACTTTTGGCGGGCTCAGCAGGGCATAGACAGCCTGGACAATTCCTATTGGCTTTTGAAAGCCAATAGAATTAGACTCTATTCAAGAGAGTCTATTCTATTGGCTTTCAAAAGCCAATAGAATAAAAGGGAGTAGCACAGCTAAGGAAAAGGGGAAAAAAATGGCGGACTGCATTGTTTGGCGACCCCGTGAAATGGTCGTTCGACCCCAAATGGGGTCCCGACCCACAGGTTGAGAACCACTGTCCTATATTGTCTAAAGATAATTGATTCAAATGTCAGGTTTAATTTAGATGGGTTTCCCTCCATTAATTTATGATGAAATTATAGCTCCAGAAGTTCCATTAATTTGTGATTGAATTTTAACTTCAGAAGTTGCAGGTGCTTCATCACTGGAGGCTTTTAAGAAAAGACTAGACGGCCACCTATCTGAAAACGGTGTAGGGCAGTGGTTCTCAACTGTCCTAATGCCGCAACCCTTTAATACAGTTCCTCATGTTGTGGTGACCCCCAACCATAAAATTATTTTTGTTGCTACTTCATAACTATAATTTTGGTACTATTATGAATCGTAATGTAAATATCTGATATGCAGGATGTATTTTCATTTCTTTCCTCTCTTTCTCTTCTCTTTCCTCTCTCTTTCTCTTCTCTTTCCTCTTTCTCTTTCCTATTTCTCTCTTTCCTCTTTCTCTTTCCTCTCTTTGTCTTTCCTTTCCCTTTCCCTCTTTCCTTTTCTCTTGCTCTTTCCTCTTTCTTTTCTTTCCTCTCTCCTTCCTATTTCTCTCTTTCCTTTCTCTTCTTTTCTCTCTTTCTCTTCTTTCTTTCCTCTCTTTCTCTTCTCTTTCCTTTCTCTCTTTCTCTTCTCTTTCCTCTTTCTCTTCTCTTTCTTTCCTCTTTTTCTTTTTCCTCTCTTTCTCTGAAGAACCAAGAGATTCCTAGGAGCCCCTCCTATCTGCCAGACAAATGGATCAATATTTTCAGGGATTTGGGCGCTGAGCACCGCCCCATTCCCTTGGCTCCTTCAGACTTCTCACGCTGAGTGGTAACAGCAATGTGACACTACCGGCTCTTCAAAAAGTGAGACTATCGCAAGTCGGCTGAGCTGTTTTCACACCTCTGTGGGCCACACACCCCTCCACTTCGCCCCCGCTCAGTCTCCTGCGCGGTCCTCCCTCCCCCCCTGCCGGGATGCTGGAGAGATGCACTCTCTCGTTTTCCGCCTCGCCGCGAACGCTTCTCTTCGGGTGTTGTCCTCCTTCGCCTTACAAGGCTGCGCGCGAGGCTCCCCCCCCCTCCTCCTCGTAGGTGGCAGGGGGCGGAGCTGCTTGCGCCGAGGTTTTGGGACCCCGCTTGGCTCTTCCCTCCTAGAACCGAGCGCGGCGACCGCAGCTGGTTCTGCGCTCCGGACCAAGCTGTCGCCCGCCCGCCGCCCCGACGCGTGCCGAGCAGCTGCGGAAAGGCCGCGCTTTGCAGCTTCCATGTGCGCCCGAGCCGGATCGGCGCAGGCAGGTCGGTAGAGGTTTTGGAGTGGCCGGGGGCGGAAGGCGATCCTTGTCCGATTTAAGGAGCTGTCGCTACCCAGCGCCGCTCAGTTGGAGCCAAGCCGTCTGGGGCAAAAGGCACGAGAGCCTGCCCCAGGGGAAGGTGGGGGCGGACCCCCGCCCGCTTTTGCTGCGCCTTCCCAACACCAGCCCCGGTTCTTCCCAGTGCCAGATCGTCCCCTTTCGAGGCGGCGGTGGGAAGCCAAACTTAACGGCAAGTCCAGCGGGGCAGGCTGGCAAGCGCCTTTTCGGTGTCGACGCCCGGCCGTCCGGAGAAAGGCCGTGACTCAGCACTTTGTGTGTGTGGGAGACCCCCTGCCCACCCCATTTTCCCGGATTGACAGCCAGCGCGGGAGAGTTTGCACAGAGCTTCCCCCGTTTGCGCCTCTTCTTCTCGGTCGGTGCCCGTTCCTTTGATCGCGGGGAGTGGGCGAAGCAGGCACCCGGGGGAGAGGGGAGGGGCGGCGCGCGCCTCGCTTTAACGCGGGTGGAAAAAAATCTGGGGATGCTCGAAGAAGGCTCCTCTGCCTGATCCGGGCCTCTTCCTTTCCCAGGGGTGCTGGCTGGGTTTTGTTTTTGAAAGGACTCGCAGATTTTCCTCCTCCCTATTGCCAAATGCGGTCAAAGCCCATTCTTTTTCCTTCTGCTCTGAAAGGTGATCGGGTTGGTGGTTTGTTCTCCTTTGGGACCTAGGCAGATGTTAATAACTCTGAGAAGAAAAACAGTGGAGGCAGAGCCTGATTTGTGAAAGCATTAACTTTCTCCTCTTACAGCCTCTTTTAAAGGCGTCAAGACCATTTGAGTTTTTGTTCTATTGTCTTTGAAGCTCAATTTGTTCCTCCCCTCAAGGAAAAAGAACAGGAGGCAAATGTTTTGGTACTGTGGTTATTTTATTTCTCCTACCTCCAGTTTTTCTGTTCTAAAAGAAATTCCAGGGATTGTCACTGACACTGTGTTATTGGGCACTCAACTGAAGATTGAGATTGCAAGACTAACTGGGCTGCAATAATATGGATGACCACTAAATAGCAGCAGTGAGAGCTTTTAGTATATCCACTTGCTGCCCACAACAGTCACCCAGATTTTTTAGTAGTTCTCTGCTGTCTCAGTCAGAAGGCAAGGCAGATGTGGGGCTGCCCTGCTGACTTCTGTGACTTGACCATAGGCCTTGTTGGGTGGTATTTCCAGGCTCCATAAAGCTTCCACTGCTCACTTCCCCATGTCAAAAGGACAAGAGAGCACTTTTTTTGTTTGTTTGCCAGCTGACAACCAGATGTGGTAGGAAAATGAGAGGGGGGCTGACCTGTTTCCTTAGCAAACTAAAAAGTGGGGCTTTGTGATTCATGGGTTCATTTCCACTTGACACCGAAAGCCACAATAGCAGTATCCAGAGCTGGACCTGGTAATCTTCCTGCAGCTTCCCAATTCCTGGCAGGACTCATCCATCCTTTCATTCTGATCATCATCATTAGAGGGTTATTGGATTGGAACAAGCTATTCTTGCTTGTTGCAGTTTCCATCCTGTATTTCTTACATTGCCCCTCCCCCCCAGCTTGGCTTAATAGTGAAACTTCATTTTCATCGCTGCTTTTCCTGCCCGCCTTCCCCATGTTGAAAGAACTCATGATTATTTACCTCATCTTGCTCCCTTCCATAATGCTTCTCATTACAATTACAGCTTCCACTGGGGATGAAGAAGTAACAAGAAGAAGTTCCGTCTCTGCCATACCAGGAATCTTAAGGATAAAAGAAGTGAGTTTGACAGCGCTTATGGAAAATTTCCTTGGACTCCAAGGTTCCTGGGACTGAGGAAATACCCACAGATTTCCAAAACTAGTATATCAGGTGGCGATTTTGTTCCAAGTTCCTCTGGGTCATCATGACTGGGAAAATGGCCTCTAGCCTGACTTGTACCGGAGTGATCTGGGCCTTGCTTTCCTTCCTTTGTGCTGGAGCCTCCTGTGTGGGTTTCTTCATGCCTTATTGGCTGCTGGGTTCTCAGCTGGAGAAACCAGTCTCTTTTGGCACTTTCCGGAGATGTTCCTATCCTGTTCGAGACGAGAGCCGCCAGATTACAGTAATGGTGGAGCAGTGTGGACGTTACGCATCCTTCCAGGCCATTCCAAGTGTGGAATGGCAGATCTGCACAGTGGTGACCGGTTTGGGCTGTGGCCTCCTCCTTCTAGTGGCCCTCACTGCACTTATGGGATGCTGCGTATATGAGCTGATCTCCAGGACGGTGGGCAGGGTGGCTGGAGGCATCCAGTTCTTGGGGGGTAAGTACCTGCAAACTCCTGACCTTGGAACCAATGCCTGCCAGCACAGACACAGTGCCTCCATTGTTCTTGCTGAATCAAATTCTTTCTTATATTCATTTTTCTGCTAAGGCCAGCCTCTACAAAATGGGAGGGGTGTATTTATAAAGGGAAAAAAAGACAGTGAATGGAATTTCAAATGCTGAACCCTTTTATCACAGTATTGTCATTTTCCTGTGGGGAAAGAATTGTTTCAGAGTTCACTCTAATCTCTTGTCCCTGAATAGTGAGATTTTCCACCCATTACTTGCAGGGAAAGAGTACTTGACTCAAGTCATGTTTGCCTGAAGGAAGCCTTATTGTTTTGGTGAGAACACAATACACCACAATTCTAACCATTTATACCGAACAGAAAGACCACTGTATTTCTTGGAACATCCCCTCAGCTGTTTATATTAAAATGGGAAACATAACTTATTAGAAAATAGATTTTAGACTGGTGCTCAGATCATATTTTGAAAGTTATTCTCCCTTCCCCAAAGTCTGCTTAAGTCTCAGAAATAGTTTCCTCTAGTTTATTGTTTCTGGCCATATGGTTTTAATTCTAATTTTTCCTTTGTGTGTGTCTGTGGCTGGACTCCCTCTTTCTTTGTGTGTGTATGTTTGCAGCTGTTTTCAATTCTATCTTCTGCAGCTGTGAAGGGGGAGAAAAAAACAAGAATTATGTAAGAAGTCAAGATTTTATGACATTTTGTGAGGAGGTAACGCAAAGCCTCCCTTGAGCTGAGCCAAACTTCTGGCTATTAGAGACACATCCGTGCAGTTTTCTGGTCAACAGTGTAGAAGTGATTTTCTATTACCTTCTCTGGCACATTTTTTTGACTTCCCCAATTTTGCCTCCAGCCTTGGAATACCCTGGTGATGTGTCATCATGGCACTGTTGATGGTTTAAGCTTGCTTTGCTTCCAGATCTGGATACTTTTGGCCAAGTGCTGCCTCCTGCTGAGATGAGCTTATGGGAATTTTGTTTTCTGACAGTGAGGTGATGGTGGTAGAAATGGAAATGGCTTGCTGATAATGGTCTTATCTCCTCCTTTCTAAGCATTCTGAAAAACAACAACCGATGTTGCAATGCAGAGCTCATAGAGTATATCAAATTTCTATTCTGATGGTATAAATTAAAAACCAGGCTCCACAAACACTGATTGGCAGTCAAAGGCCACGATCCCAAATCCTTAATCTCTATACACCAACACCAACAGCACCAGTTCGATTGGAGCAACATAAAAATCATTGGCCATGCTATCAGCCGCCATGCTCGTGAGGTCATCAAAGCCTGGCACTCCACAAGCAGTTCCATCAACAGACACACTGACCTACAACTAGCCTACGAATCATAATCCAAATCAACCACACAGCCAACCAGAGACAGCACTGACCCTCAACCAACTTATGCAAGCCCCCCCCCCCTGCCACCAGCAATTCACCTCCCAATGACCCTGACCAGATGTAACCTCTCCATCCCCAAACTCACTGATGACTCACACCTGACCTATCACAAGATCCATCACAGACCCTCATGTGATACCCCCACACCCGAAGCCCTTATAATCAGAATAACACCGTCATCCCCTAAACCAGTGATGGCAAACCTTTTAGAGAACGAGTGCCCAAACTGCAACCCAAAACCCACCTATGTATCATTTGGGTGCTGGATGGGCGTGGCCCATTGGGTGTGCTTGGCCCATTGGGTGGGCGTGGCCACGGTGGTAACAGCAGACTGGGTGGGACTAAAAAGTTCAAACAATCAATTCCAATTTTGCGAGACCTTTTTTTTCCCCGCAAGAAGTTGAAATTGATTGGTCGATTGAACCTTTTTTTTTTTTTTTGCACACGGCAGTGGAGGCCTAAAGCAAAAAGGTTTTATAAAACCCAGCTGTCCCCAAAAGTTGTCCCGCATGTATCCGAATTTACAGCCCAAATGTTGGAGATGTGGAAGTTTAGATGCAACCTATTTTCACATTTGGTGGACCTGTAGAGATATAAAAGCTTTTTGGATTAAGATTTGGTGGAATATTCAAAAGATTTTTAAGAGGAAGATAAAGTTTACTCCGCAGTTATTTTTGTTGGGTATTATTGTAGATATTGATGTTAAAGAAATCAATTTGATGTTGAATCTTATAACAGCTGCAAGATTATTAGTGGGACAATATTGGAAGAAAAACTCTCTGCCTACTATGGAAGAATGGATACTTAAGGTATTTAGCAGAAATGGCGAAAATCTCCGCTTATTTAAAGGACCATTCACAAGAAAAATATATTATGGTTTGGAGAAGATGGATTGATTACATTCAAAAGAGATATGAAACTGAAAAGTATTATCTTATATTATATTAAAAGTATTATCTTATTATAAATATGAGCCAGCAGTGTGCTGCAGCTGCCAAAAAGGCCAACACAGTGCTAGGCTGCATTAACAGAGGGATAGAATCAAGAACACGTGAAGTATTAATACCACTCTTCAATGCCTTGGTAAGGCCACACTTGGAATACTGCATCCAGTTTTGGTCACCACGATGTAAAAAAGATGTTGAGACTCTAGAAAGAGTACAGAGAAGAGCAACAAAGATGATTAGGGGACTGGAGGCTAAAACATATAAGGAACGGTTGCGAGAATTGGGTATGTCTAGTTTAACGAAGAGAAGGACAAGGGGGGACATGATAGCAGTATTCCAATATCTCAGGGGCTGCCATAAAGAAGAGGGAATTAAGCTATTTTCCAAAGCACCTGAAGGCAGGACAAGAAGCAACGGGTGGAAACTAATCAAGGAGAGAAGCAACCTAGAACTAAGGAGAAACTTCCTGACAGTAAGAACAATTAATCAGTGGAACAGCTTGCCTCCAGAAGCAGTAAATGCTCCAACACTGGAAGTTTTTAAGAAGAGACTGGACAGCCATTTGTCCGAAATGGTGTAGGGTTTCCTGCCCGAGCAGGAGGTTGGACTAGATGACCTCCAAGGTCCCTTCCAACTTTACTACTACTATTATTATTATTATCTTGCATATGAGTAGATTTTAGATAATTATTAATAGTTTTAATTATATCATTATTTTAATTTATAATTTGTTAACACTTGTTTTGAAAAGGAGTTAAAGTGTGTTAGGGTTTTGATTGATAATATAGTTGGTTAACGTTAGTTAGATTATGTTTATTTGTTACCCTGTAATCAGCTCTGGGAAGTGGGGGAGGGGTGGGAAGGGGTGGGAGGGGTTTATATTGTATTAAATTTGTAAAACTTTTAATAAAAAAAAACCCAGCTGAAGGCCTAGGACTGGGGCGATGGCACGCATGCCCAGAGAGAGGTTTCTGCATGCCACCTGTGGCATGCGTGCCATAGGTTCGCCACCACGGCCCTAAACTCTGCTGAAGATGTTACCCAGCCTGGTAACAAAACATTCAGAAACCAATCCACAAGCTCGGAGAACAAACCTTCACCCTCATCCTATAGCCGAGCTACAGATATTCACCACTATTGCATAAGTTAATACTAGTGGTTACTCTGCAATTTCTCTTTAAAGCTACATCCGTCCAAACTGGTTAAAAAAGCATGAAGATATAGGATGGACTCCACTGTCAATAGAAAATATTCCACTCACCTAAAGCATACTTCTCAAAGTGTATTGGGTGATAAAATAAATTAATAATATACTAACACAAACTTGGTGTAAATTCAGTTGGACCGTTCTAATTAAATTCTAATTAACTCTTCCAAATGACTCTTATGGAAGGAGATAAAATTAGGTGCAAAATTCACACATGCTAAAATTAATGCTGAAATGTGTAGCAAGTATCATTTATTTTTCTTAATTAGGGAAAATGTACTCAATTAGCCATGTTTAAAATAATTATAAGCACGGTAATAAAATAATTCCCAAAGAAAGGTTTTAATCTAAACATAACATATTCATCTCTCTTCCAGTTTCCTCTCTTTCTGCCATATAAATTATTTATTTCAGCTATTAGTGGAAAGACTTTTGAGAAATTTACATAATATTCATAATTAGCTTTGTTTAAATAAAAATGAACCTGGTAATAAACATTTTTCCATTGACTGAGGGTACTGGAAAATTTCCTTCAAAAGATTCTGATGTGAAGTCTTTCAGAAAACTCTACTAACAAAGAAATTGGATGTTTACGCAGTAATACTTGTCTGGTATTGAAATTAATTTTGCCCTCATTTTCTACTACCGGTATAATGTTTGATAAATTTCTGTACAAGAGTTTCATTTTGTGGCTGTTTTTATCAAATTTCATCCTTCTCATTAATGAAAAATCTTACTCTAACAATTTGCATTTGTCTTGCAGTACATGTCTTTCCGTAGCTACAGTGAAAAGTTTTGTGTGTGTGTGTGTGTGTGTGTCAGTGAAAAGCCCTGGAATATATCTTAAGACAGTGAAAATCAAAGCATGCTTTCTTTGATTTTCACTGTCTTAAAATGTGAATTACACCAATTCACAGTGAAGCATACAAAGCATTAAATGTGAATTAAATTTAAAGCATTAAATTAAATTTAAAGCATTAAATTCACTGTGAATTGGTGTAATTCAAATCTCTTTTATTATCTAATTAGTTATATGATTAACATTAAGAGCTCTGCTGTCCTGTTTAGTTGACACATTGAAGAATAACTTCTATTCCAGAAAACAGATTACAAATTCTGGTTACTTAATGAGGTTGTGAATGTTGAATTGGGCACTCCCTTGCCCAGTTGCCTTGTTCTCATAACAGTAGCTGGACAGTGCTATTCTGTGTCTTGCTTAGATGGTTGGTGGAGAGGAACAAGTTGCCCCATGCAAATTAGTTAGTATCCTAGGATCCTTCATTCAGCAGCTGAACAATGTGACAAGGATAGCAAACACTTGGCAACTATAAGTACTAGCCAGACAGAGACTATTCCCTCTAGTTGCAACAACAGGGACAGACTACACCCCTAGCAACCCTGGGCTGGAAAGCTCCAAT